AGAGTTGTTTTATGACCATGCTACTAAAATCGAAAAAATTGAAAATTTTCCATAATGTTTCTTCAGTTCTAACGCCCACCAATAAATATAATTGCGTAATTTACGTGAAACTAAATGGATGTAACTGATAGTAGTCGCAAATATGAAATACGAAACTATTTATAATTTATGGAAAACAGAACACAAAGACACTACTAAATTTGAAAATTAATAAAATATCTTCAATTCTTCGGTGACATTCCATCAAATCAGAGTTTTTTTCACAAAAATTTATGTCGTTATACATTGTGTTTCACACCTCGGTATCGCCAACATAATTTGTATGTCCCATCTACTTGTCCGAAATAAACGTTATTGATATACAACATTAAGGAAGGCTGGTAACCACTTTGTCAATTTCTGAACAAAGAAATTTCAGATCAAGCGTTTCTGAGAGAAAATGTTGAAGGAGATATCACAAAACAAATGATGAAAAACAATTGGAAATATGATTGTGGATTTCAAAAAACAATGCAAAAACAAATGAGAATATGATTGGCGACAATATGTTTTGTAATTGTTGCGATTATATCGTGTTTAGTGTATTATTTGATGATATGATGATTGAGAGATGCAATATTATTACCAGTTGCAACCTCCCCCTTTTTTTAATCAACTTGTAGTCAATTTTTATTGTAGTGAGGTGCAATTAGGGGAAATTTCAGATGATTTTTTATTTTTGAAAAATATCAAATTATTAATCCATTTTTTTTGACACAATAATGAATGTTTGAGGTCGATCAATTTTGCCTCAGTTGTGAGGGTTCTTGCTAAACGTAATTTATATCGTAGGGATAACAGGGACGCATGTTCACAGAACAAATGAATCTTAAACTAGAAAAACACGAGTACACGTTGCTAAAAGTTTGAACTGAGAGACGCGATGAAACAAACCTCAGCAGTTGCAAGTCTATATACTTCACTATTAGGAGTTACTGAAATATGCTATCAATAAGGATATTAGATATCGCTATGATATGTTGAAATTCTGATATTGCTAACAATTCCTGTAATATATTAGTGGATATAAAACAAGATGGAAACTATAACAATAGCATTTGTCCCATCTTGCATACGATAGCCCATGTATCGTAACATAACTCTGGCATTAAGTTATTATGTAAAATGTTGGTATTGTATCTAAATTGGTAGTGCGTGAACGCGTGTGGATACCGGGTTTATTGTAAAGGTTATTCGGAACTCCCGTGCTGTGTGAGCCAGGTTAGGGTCAGGCCATAATTTTATTCTGATTTTCCTTATTTTAGTTATATTACGAGTTCGGGGACTGTCTGTATTATCCAAGTGAATATACCCTCTGTCCGTAGGATCCAGTCCCTTTACACAACTTGATGTAAATTATCCCAACAAAATTAGTTACCTCCTTATTGGTTGGTGTTACACTTCTGGTGCGCCGGTTTTTCTATGATACTTGTTTGCAGTAAGACGTAATCGAATATTTGAAGTTTAAACACAATTAACATTTTTTATTCAACCATTGCAGCTCAACACTCACCCTCACGACAGACGGTTGAAAAACTCCTTTTATTTTTGAATATATGGTTTTCAACACTTTTAATTAAAGCTATTGATATTGAAATACATTTTTGGCTCAAATATATAAATAAAGGACACTCACTCAGAAAATTACGGGCAATCACTCAGAAGTAACGAAGTGTCACCTCTGAACCAAATTACGGGCACCCACTCTGTAGAAAATGGATACTCATTTCTGAGAACAATTACGGACACTCACTCAGAACTAAAGCAGACTCATCTCAGAACAAATTTTCGAATAATCTCTTAGAAGCAAAGAAGACTCATCTCTGAGAAAAGTTTTTCACCCTTACTCAAATGTTAAGGAGACTCGTCTCTGAAAAAAGTTTAGCAGTCACTAAGAATTAAAGAAGACTCATCTTTGAGGTAAGTTATGGTCACTCAACAGGAAGAACTCATTTCTTCAAAAAGTCAAAAGCACTCAATCATATGTGAAGGTGGCTCATGTATGAGAAAAGTTATGGATATTCACTCCTAATTAAAGAAGACTCATCTCTCAGTAAAGTTATGGGTACTCAATCAGAAGTAAATAGAACTAATCTCTCAGCAAAGTTACCGGCACTCACTAAAAAGTAAAGGGAACTCACCTCGGAGCAAAGTTACGGGCACTCACTCAGATGTAAATAAGACTCATATCTGAGTAATGTTTTGTGCACACATTCAGAAGTAAAAGAGACTCATCTGTGAGCAAAGTACGTGCACTCACTCAGAAGTGAATAGCAAAGTTCTGTGCACTCATTCAGAAGTAGAGGAGATTCCCTGCTAGGTAAAGTTACATGGACTCACTCAGATGTAAAAGGGAATCACCTCTGAGCGAAGTTATGGGCGCTGACTCATAGGTAAACGGGGCTCACCTCTGAGCAAAGTTACGGGATCTCACTCATATGTGAATAATACTCATCTAAGAGCAAATATCTGTGCACTCATTCCGAAGTAAAGAAGACTCATCTATAATCAATGTTCCGGGCACTCACTCATAAGTAAAGATGTATCATTTCTGAGCCAAGTTACGTACACTCATTCAGATGTAAGAAAGACTCATTTCTGAGAAAAGTTTTTTGCACTCACTCAAAAGTAAAGGAGACTTACCTCTGAATATAGTTTTTTTCAATCACGCAAAAGTACATAAGATTCATCCACGATTAAAATTAAGGGCAATCCTTCAGATGTTAAGAATACTAATCTCTGAGTAAATTTTGTGCAGTCCCTCAGGAATGAATAAGACTCATCTCAGAGTAAAATTTTGTGCACTTACTCAGAAGTAAAAAAGATTCACCTCTTAGCAAATTTATGGAACTCACTCAAAAGTAAATGAGAGTCATCTTTGGGTAAAATTATGAGCGGCCACTCAGAAATAAAGGAGACTTATCTTTGATCTGAGTTACGTGTCCCCCCCCAATTGTAAAAACGACTCATCTCCGAGCAAAGTTTTGTGTACTCAATCAAAAGAAAGGAGACTCATCCTGAGCAACTAATTGGCACAAGGCCTTCATTTTGTACTGACCTAAAATCAAGTGTTTCAACTGTTGTGAGTTTCTTTTAGTGTTCTATGTATGATACGTTTGGCGATATATGTTTGAATCCATTACTTATAGTCACTGTCACACGATTCTACCCATTCAAAACAAACTTTTAATGTTCTCCCGTTTCAACTCATTTTTATTATTTTTGTATGTTTGTTGTTGTTCTATTTACGTTTTTGCGAGGAAATTAAAATAATTATTATTATCCGAGATAATGACTGAAAATACGGTCATTCTTCCTTTTTTTCGTAACGCCAGTCATTAGTTCTTAGAACAATTAACGGTTGCTTCGGCCTGGACCCGCATAATACAACAATAGATGTTGTTGAAAGTATCAGATTCCATTACTTCACCGACGATTTCCGTTTGGGCGAATATTCGGGTGCAGTACAGCATGATTGATGGCAGCGATCGTGTAGTATAGTAACGCACAGTGGGAATTTCGTCAGCAGTTGGATAGTTTTTCTGTTTCAGACGATTCGTGAGTTTGGGAATCACGGTTGAATTGTTAGCAAGACAGATTTTGGCGGATTCGGGCGTAAGTTTCGACAAAACCTCGTTGAAATGTCTAAAGTTTGTGGTGGCAAAAAATGAGAATATATAAACGTATAAGCTCGTGAATGTTTAAGATATACTTTTTGAGTTCCATATATCTGTTTACGAAAACGAGATATCTGGAATTACCTTTTGACGTAACTTGGGATTTTCGATGTCTCAGAAACATATGCAATCCTAAATATCTGTATTTTAATTGCGGGATAGTTATCATGTTATTGAAACGTCCATGTTGTTGGGATAAATATCACTTTACTCTGTATCTATATTTAAATAATCACTTTCAATTTTTTATGGTTATAATCAGAAGTGTCTTTGAGCCTCCTTGACCATTGTTTTGCGCATTTTTTTTTATATGAAAAAAGCTCCCCGGCAACTTTCACACTGTCCTTTAACTATAGCATAACTCTAATGAAAGTGTGTATATTATCGTCTTGTGGTAATCCCTAGTATAAGTTGGCCCCGCCAACGCCTTCAACTGTCTTCATTATTTAATTCGCGATATTAAGGCAGTCTGCAATTCTAACGATAAGATAACTTTTAGGATAGGATAGGATTAGCATATTTATCCCGGAGGGAAGAAGGCCGTTAGGACGGTTTAGTCATATGGCGACGACGGCCTCTCGTTCGGTTACCAATTCATGTCGGGTATGAAACTAGTTAGCCAGTTATTTGTTTGAGATGCATGGACTTGCCGACCAGCGGTTACGTGAACCGCCCTAAGGCGGCGACGAGTCCAGAATCCTATTGCACATAATTATCCCACACGGGATAAAATGATCAATGGCATTTGGAGGAATTTGTTGAACGCGGTGCGTTCAGATTTGCATGATCACCATACACGTTATTGGTTTTCTATGTAAATCTTGGCTTCCTACATATTCATATCCTCCATATCCTTAAATGACTTGACTCATCCCCTACGTCACAGAAAGAAACAACGCCCGTGTTTACTTTAGGTTGTAGCAGGTAGTGGATTAGATAAATGTTGGGTTATTTAAAATTGCGTAGTTACAATTTCCAAGGTTTGGGCTTGCTCGGCATGGGTTAGGGATTATGGGTTAAAGGTAAAAGCTTACAAAACGTCTAGCACAAAAGCTATGATAATTTTGCAGCAATGCGAGAGGCAAGATGGTTGATGTATGAAATTTTCAGTTTCGAAAATTAAATTTAAAAAAATGTGACAGCAAGCTTAGAAACCGTTTTTCCTGTGCAATGGGTGCAGACGTATTTTATGGCAAATCTCCTGTGCCCGGCAGTAGCTACAATCCTCCTTATTCTACTTATAATAATCAGCAATGTAACAATCTTTCTTCACAGTCATAATTCTATAATCTGATGACAAATATTGATTTGAATGGCGGATCAGTGTCAAGCTCAAGCATCGGTTTCAACCACTACGGGTGAGATATCTTGAATTTTAGTTGATATTTCTAGCGTTCAGTATTTGAGATCATTCGTAAATATTTCATAAATAAATCAGTGTCAACACAAACAAGTCCCAATATCAATTCCAATCCCAGTCGATGTAATCGGCGTCTCAGATGTAGGGATGGGAAGAGATTTGGAGCCTAAATCGGAATCGAGTCGTCACTTTTGAAACTCTAATTCGATATCTAGTCGACACCACTCTGTTTATTCACTAAATCAGGGGTGCGCAATCTGCGGTCCACGGGCCAAATGTGGCCCACAGAAGAAAATTGTGCGGCCAGTGGACAAGTGCTAATTTTGAATGGCGTGCCGTTTAAATGAGTTTTTAATTTAGTTCAATATAGTATATATGTGCGAATAATTTCAATGCATCTGCGCTGCAAGAGCAAGTGCAATGAACAACACATGTCATACGATCGAAAACCAAAATTTTTGGGCCTGAAACTACTAGCAAACCTATGTTGAATAAAGGTGCAGCCAGCGGGTTGACCCAGTTATTAGTATCTTGCCCTACTGTATTAGAGGATGTACACCCCTTCACTGAAGTAGACCTACTGTATGTACTTTATAGAACTCAATAGTAGACTTAGTAGTCAAGACCTATATGATAAGATATCTAAAAACACACGTAAGATCGGTAAGTATGTTGATAGGTATTTGTCTGTTTGTTTGTCTGTTAGATACACGCGATATCTCACGAAAGCGAGGTTGAATCTGCTTCAAATTTTGCATGTGCATTCATCATAATTCGGAACAGAAGCCTATATATTTTGGATGAATTATGTCGTATAATTAGCGAGTTATTAATTATTTAGTGATGGGACAATAATATTCACGAGTCAACGTTGTCAAATAAATTTCATCTCCATCGCGCTATCGATCACACATTGAAAACTTCACTAATGACCAGCACGAGTTCTCCATATTTGTCAGATTCGGCAAATTCGAGTAAAAGATGAAAGCATCAGGTCGAATGTTTCGAGTCCGTGACGTCATGCTGGAAACAGAGAAAAACACGTTTCAGAATGTGTAACAACACGGCGCGCTCTTACACGTAAATCCTATTTCGTATTTTCTCGCAAAGCGGTGTGACAAGTAGCTGTTGAACTAATTTAGGAAACTCGTTTCATTATTTCTTCTCATGTTGTGTGCCCATTATACATAAAAGAATGCCGGTTTCCTTGTGTGTTCGATTTTCAGTCCACGGTCTCCGGCGTTTTATCACGGCTAAGCTTTCGTAATACATTCTCCGTGATTGGTGAAAACTATAGCGATAGGGTTGCTATCCTCGGTTTGCTCGGTCCTATAATGTCGTGCATATGCTTTTAATTTAATATTTCATTTGAAGATTTTTTAGTAACCCATTGTCGAGTTTGTAGGTAGTCACTAAATTTGTTCTGATTTGATTTGACCGATCACACATTTTTAACTCCAGTATTTATTGTTTGTCCTGGGCTTTGTTGAGGTGAACGTACAATACGAAGAATCAGAATGTTAAGAGTCAGGAATTTCTCCTCTGCCCGATGAACTTTGGTTATTCGGAATCAAATTGTGAATTATGTTCATTTACTATTGACACACACCGATACGATACTCACATATTATAATTCTGTGGCCGATATTGTGTCTTCATTAACGGAATTAGGTATTTTCGTCCAATTGAGTTGAGTTGAGCTGGAAAGGTTTCATTCAACGAAGATCACTCTTGTATTTTATATTAACCTTCTAGTAATGCGGAAATAGTAAAGGAGGAATTCAACAGGATTCGATGACAGGGTTTATGAGTCTTCGGTAGTGTGCGACAATTTCAGCATTTCGAGTGTTTTATTTATTATAAATTAGAATAGCATAATTTCTTTACAAGAAATAGCAAGTAAACAATGGTGAAGGAAGGAACAAGGAAGTGAAAGTGGACAATGAAAAGGGCTTGCAGTTCATTCAGTCAACAATATCCAATTATACATCAGAGAGCAGAATTCTTTTGCGGCGCGCACACGCATCTCTCGCGCATGATTTTTATCAATTGCAAACTCAAACAAGTTAGAGTTAGACATTCAAAACAGACACACCCCGGTTGGCCATGGCGCGTGTTGCACGGTTTTCGGGTTTTTTCTTACAGCTTGCTTAATATTATTGGTGTCGATTAACGGCTTACTCTCCGTTTTACCATTACCCGATTGCAACAATATTAGTTCTTTAAGAACACATCTTGTTTCTTTTTATATCGAATTAGTATTCGGGCGTCCAAATTGTAAACATAAAGATGTGGACTAGAACCAGATGTTAATTGTTCCAGAAATATTCTAGCAAATAATTTGATATTAGCATAAACAGTAAATGCTTCATTGCGGCAATAATTTAGCTCACATGCTGAATTAATCTACGAAACTTAGTGGTGAGAAATACTAACCCAACCTTGGATAATCAGAACTATTTAATAAACAGAAACAAAGGACCAATATTAAATTAGAAAAGATTTACAAATTAATGAAAATCACCAATAAGCTTCAACTGATCAAATACTAACTCAATTATAATATAATAAATTTATTGTTAAATATTAGTTTGCCATCACAATTCACAACACCAATCTAATATTTGCAATAAAATTTATACTATTCTTACAGAGACAAGCATAACTGACGCTCAGATTCAAGAGTTTAATTATCCAATCTGTTTCCTTCAACTCTCATTTTTGGGGTATTAATAAAAGCTTTCTGTACGAGTATTTGCTCATCTAAAATAAAGGGAGATACAAATGTGGTGGTTGGGTATCAAAAAATGATGGTCCAATAAACGCAGGTCTCAACGCACTAACTTACTAATATTGTAAGACTTTTCTCCCCTTCCCACAAGCTGTGTATAACTGTAAATTCTTGTCCATTAAAGTCAGTTTGGGTGATTTCAATTAACAAATATCACCAACATTATTTTGATATTTAACTAAACAGGGATGTAGCAATGACACAATTTTATCACCTAAATTTAATTTTCAATTTACAAATATAATGTAGGCTACCTTATTTTATCTATTAAATGAATAGGGATGTGAACATAGCTCAATTTTATTTTCGCTTGAATGCCCAATTTGAAAAACTAATATTTCACATATAAAGTATTCTTTTTGTACAGAGACGAACATATCTGACTCTCACATTCAAGAAGTTCGAGCTGGGCAGATTAATGAAGTCCATGCAGAGAAGGTCGTGAAGAATGTAACAAACATTGATGGTGGGTTTGATTCTACAGGTTTTGCAGAGTTGAAACAATATGAATATTGACCAAGAACCAACACTTGTTTCAAGCAAAGTGTGTAATATAAAACAGAAACTTAATCATTTTCAATTCAATGCTTGCTTCTTCCTGCAGCGCACTTTGCCACTTTCATAAATTTAACAGCACAACTTGCCTAGGTGATTAACTTTCCCAGGATAAGCACATGAGTTTGATGGTGAGGCTTAAACTTATTTAACTTGTTTTACATGTTTCGTGTATGTTTTCTGCTGACAACACCTGTCTCTGTCCATGTGTGTCATTATAAATAGCTAAACATGTTTCGCGTATGTTTTCTGGTTGGTAACCCCCATTCCTCCTCCATTCATGCACATTTGTGGACATTGAAAAAGCTAGGCTTCCAGAAGAGTATTTCTTCATTCAAAGCAATTGAGGGTATAGCTATGGTAATTGAGTGTCCAATAAACAACGGTTTCAACGCCTTAGCTTACTAATCATCTAAGGCTTTCCTTATCTTCCAACAAGTCAATTATTCCTTGGCTGATTTGGTATTTTGATTTAAAGAACTATAAATTGTCTTCCATACAGTTGATGACATATTTCATATACACATTATATTATTTTTTCAGAGACAAATATAACTGACTCTCACATCCAAGAGGTTCGAGCTGAGCAGATTCATGAAGTTCATGCAGAAAAGGTCATGCAGAATGTAACAAACATTGATGGTAGGATTAATTCTACAGGATTTCCGGAGTTGTAAAATTCTAAAGATAACTATAACCCAACAATTCTTCATAAACTTGTTTGTTTTAAAACACAAATAATCGATGCTTAGTTATTATTACAAGTAAATTTACCTGCATTACGTTTTATGATTTATTTCTCTTTTGTAATTTAAATTAATTGACATATCGCCATAACATGCAATTTAAGCGCATTGTTGTGATTTTAAAATAGCTGGAAAATATCTTATCTTTATGAACTTGCACAAAGCAATGACAGGTGCACTAACTCAAAGTGTAAATAAAAGTTTTGATATTCATGTCACTGAAACTATCGATCATACCTATTTCCCGTTCCTTAAAGTTCCCATGAGTGGTCTCAATTCTTGAATATCACATACAATATTTTGATATTTCACTGAATAAAGATGTAGCCAATGAAAAAATGAAATTTTTTTCTACATTACAAACTTACAAACAATTTGAAATCTAATATTTCATATACACCAAATACAATTGATCTTTCAGAAACAAATATAACTAACTCTCTGATTCAAGAAGATCGAGCTGAGCAGATTCATGAAGTCCATGCTGAGAAGGTCGTGCAGAATGTATCAAATATTGATGGTAAGTTTGATTCTTCAGGATTTCCGGAGTTAAATAAATATAAACTAAATTTTGTTTTTAGCAAATTGCCTATCATAAAACCGAAACTACAACTTGAATAAACATATTTTGCATCCAACACATATTTGCTTCTGTCACTAATATTGTGAGATTCAAAAATTAGGAATTTCTGATCACCTCAATTTCGTTTTTAATTTACAAATCGAATGTACCTTATTTTAATATTTAATTAATTGGGAAGGAAAAAATAGCACAATTTTATTTAATTTTTGGTTGAATGCCCATTTTGAAAAACTAATATTTCATATATAAGATAATCTTTTCGTACAGAGACAAACATAACTGACTCGCACATTCAAGAAGTTCGAACTGAGCAGATTCATGAAGTTCATGCAGAGAAGGTTGTGCAGAATGTAACAAACATTGAGGGTGGGTTTGATTCTACAGGTTTTGCAGAGTTGAAATAATATGAATATTGACTAAGAACCAACACTTGTTTTTAGCAAAGTGTGAATATAAAACAGAAACTTAATAATTTTTTGATTCAATGCTTGCTTCTGCAGCGCACTTTGCCACTTTCATAAATTTAACATGAATTATGTCTGTATGGTGGTTTGGAATGTGTTGCCACTCCTTTCATCTTGAGCTCATTAAATATTTTTGTCTATCGAGAGTTTTAGGATGTTTTATTTTTTCCAAAATTTGTTCAAAGAGGGGTACTGACTCCAGAGTGGGATTGAAAGTTTTAAATATTTTTTGCTACATTTACAAATCTATGAGAAGAAATTTTCAATTGATCAAAATCATACTCATCGATAATGTAAGGTACTGGAGTGTCAGTATTTTAATACTTATATTTTTACACCCACTTTTATTATGTCCCTCTAGTAAGGTGATCATTTGGCGCTCCAGAAGTAGGTGTATCAATATGTAGGTAACTAATTTTGTTTGCTTACATTACATCAAGTTGTGTAAAGGGACTGCAACCTATGACCAAGGGGTATATTCACCTGGCTAAGACAGACAGTCCCCAAACTCATAAAAACACAAATAGGGAAAATATGAATAAAATTGTGGCCTAACCTTAATCTGGTACACTCAATATGGGAGTGCCTATCTTTTAGTAGTACTCTGGTTACTTAACATTGATGCGGCTTTTCTCGATAACATTGATTGTTATAGAACTATAAATTGTCGTCCATACAGTTGATGAAATATTTCAGATACACATTATTTTATTGTTACAGAGACAAACATAACTGACTCTCATATCCAAGAGGTTCGAGCTGAGCAGATTCATGAAGTTCATGCTGAGAAGGTCGTGCAGAATGTATCAAATATTGATGGTAAGTTTGATTCTTCAGGATTTCCGGAGTTAAATAAATATAAACTAAATTTTGTTTTTAGCAAATTGCCTATCATAAAACCGAAACTAGAACTTGAATTAACATATTTTGCATCCAACACATATTTGTTTCTGTCACTAATATTGTGAGATTGAAAATTTAAGAATTTCTGATCACCTCAATTTCGTTTTTAATTTACAAATCTAATATACCTTATTTTAATATTTAAATAATTGGGGAGGAAAAAATAGCACAATTTTATTTATTTTTTGCTTGAATGCCCATTTTGAAAAACCAATATTTCATATATAAAATAATCTTTTCGTACAGAGACAAACATAACTGACTCTCACATTCAAGAAGTTCGAACTGAGCAGATTCATGAAGTTCATGCGGAGAAGGTTGTGCAGAATGTAACAAACATTGAGGGTGGGTTTGATTCTACAGGTTTTGCAGAGTTGAAATAATATGAATATTGTTTAAGAACCAACACTTGTTTTTAGCAAAGTGTGAATATAAAACAGAAACTTAATATAATTTTTTAATTCAATGCTTGCTTCTGCAGCGCACTTTGCCACTTCCATAAATTTAACATGAATTATGTCTGTATGGGGGTTTTGAATGTGTTGCCACTCTTTTCAGCTTGAGCTCATTAAATATTTTTTTCTATGGAGAGTTTTGAGATGTGATATTTTTCAAAATTTGTTCAAAGCAGAGTACTGAGTGGAATTGAAAGTTTTAAATATTTTTTGCTACCTTTACAAATCTATGAGAAGAAATTCTCAATTGATCATAATCATAATCATCGATAATGTAAGGTACTGAGTGTCAATATTTAATGCTTATATTTTTATACCCACTTTTATTTTGTCCCGCTAGTAAGGTGATCATTTGGCGCTCCAGAAGTAGGTGTATCAATATGTAGGTAACTAATTTTGTTTGCCTACTTTACATCAAGTTGTGTAAAGGGACTGCAACCTATGACCAAGAGGTATATTCACTTGGCTAAGACAGACAGTCCCCAAACTTATTAAAAACACAAATAAGAAAAATAGGAATAACATTTTGGCCTTTGGCCTAACCCTAACCTGGTACACTCAATATGGGAGTGCCTATCTTTTAGTATTACTCTGGTTACTTGACATTGATGCGGCTCTTCTCGATAACATTGATTATTATAGAACTATAAATTGTCGTCCATACAGTTGATGAAATATTTCATATACACATTATTTTATTGTTACAGACACAAACATTACTGACTCTCATATCCAAGAGGTTCGTGCTGAGCAGATTCATGAAGTTCATGCTGAGACGGTCGTGCAGAATGTATCAAATATTGATGGTAAGTTGCTTCTTCAAGATTTCCGGAGTTAAATAAATATAAACTAAATTTTGTTTTTAGCAAATTGCCTATCATAAAACCGAAACTAGAACTTGAATTAACATATTTTGCATCCAACACATATTTGCTTCTGTCACTAATATTGTAAGATCGAAGAATTAGGAATTTCTGATCACCTCAATTTCGTTTTTAATTTACAAATCTAATGTACCTTATTTTAATATTTAAATAATTGGGTAGGTAAAAATAGCACAATTTTATTTATTTTTTGCTTGAATGCTCATTTTGAAAAACTAATATTTCATATATAAAATAATCTTTTCGTACAGAGACAAACATAACTGACTCTCACATTCAAGAAGTTCGAACTGAGCAGATTCATGAAGTTCATGCAGAGAGGGTTGTGCAGAATGTAACAAACATTGAGGGTGGGTTTGATTCTACAGGTTTTGCAGAGTTGAAATAATATGAATATTGACTAAGAACCAACACTTGTTTTTAGCAAAGTGTGAATATAAAACAGAAACTTAATCATTTTTTAATTCAATGCTTGCTTCTGCAGCGCACTTTGCCACGTTCATAAATTTAACATGAATTATGTCTGTATGGGGATTTGGAATGTGTTGCCACTCTTTTCAGCTTGAGCTCATTAAATATTTTTTTCTATGGAGAGTTTTAAGATGTGATATTTTTCAAAATTTGTTCAAAGCGCAGTACATAGTGGGATTGAAAGTTTTAAATATATTTTATGCTACCTTTACAAATCTATGAGAAGAAATTTTCAATTGATCAAAATCATACTCATCGATAATGTAAGGTACTGAGTGTCAATATTTAATTCTTATATTTTTACACCCACTTTTATTATGTCCCTCTAGTAAGGTGATCATTTGGCGCTCCAGAAGTAGTGTATCAATATGTAGGTAACTAATTTTGTTTGCCTACTTTACATCAAGTTGTGTAAAGGGACTGCAACCTATGACCAAGGGGTATATTCACTTGGCAAAGACAGACAGTCCCCAAACTTATAAAAAACACAAATAGGAAAATTAGGAATAAAATGTTGGCCTAACCTTAACCTGGTACACTCAATATGGGAGTGCCTATCTTTTAGTATTACTCTGGTTACTTGACATTGATGCGGCTCTTCTCGATAACATTGATTATTATAGAACTATAAATTGTCGTCCATACAGTTGAGGAAATATTTCATACACACATTATTTTATTGTTACAGAGACAAACATAACTGACTCTCATATCCAAGAGGTTCGAGCTGAGCAGATTCATGAAGTTCATGCTGAGACGGTCGTGCAGAATGTATCAAATATTGATGGTAAGTTTGATTCTCCAGGATTTCCGGAGTTGAATAAATATAAACTAAATTTTGTTTTTTAGCAAATTGCCTATCATGAAACCGAAACTAGAACTTGAATTAACATATTTTGCATCCAACACATATTTGCTTCTGTCACTAATATTGTGAGATTGAAAAATTAGGAATTTCTGATCACCTCAATTTTGTTTTTAATTTACAAATCTAATGTACCTTATTTTAATATTTGAATAATTGGGGAGGTAAAAATAGCACAATTTTATTTATTTTTCGCTTGAATGCCCATTTTGAAAAACTAATATTTCATATATAAAATAATCTTTTCGTACAGAGACAAACATAACTGACTCTCACATTCAAGAAGTTCGAACTGAGCAGATTCATGAAGTTCATGCAGAGAAGGTTGTGCAGAATGTAACAAACATTGAGGGTGGGTTTGATTCTACAGGTTTTGCAGAGTTGAAATAATATGAATATTGACTATGAACCAACACTTGTTTTTAGCAAAGTGTGAATATAAAACAGAAACTTAATCATTTTTTAATTGGTTCCATTACATTTGAACCCACGTACATTTGAACCCATGACAATTGCACCTGTATGCTGTTGCACCTATGGAATTTTTTTTGTTTCACGGATAGTTAAACCCATACTAACCCTAACCCATGGGTTTTAGCACCCGCATATAGATTGAACCCGTGGATATACGCATGGGTTCAAATGTACATGGGTTCAAATGTACGGTCACCTTTTTAATTCAATGCTTGCTTCTGCAGCGCACTTTGCCACTTTCAATAAATTTAACATGAATTATGTCTGTATGGGGGTTTTGAATGTGTTGCCACTTTTTTCAGCTTGAGCTCATTAAATATTTTTTTCTATGGAGAGTTTTGAGATGTGATATTTTTCAAAATTTGTTCAAAGCGGAGTACTGAGTGGGATTGAAAGTTTAAAATATTTTTGCTACCTTTACAAATCTATGAAAATAAATTTTCAATTGATCAAAATCATACTCATCGATAATGTAAGGTACTCAGTGTCAATATTTAATTCTTATATTTTTACACCCACTTTTATTATGTCCCTCTAGTAAGGTGATCATTTGGCGCTCCAGAAGTAGGTGTATCAATATGTAGGTAACTAATTTTGTTTGCCTACTTTACATCAAGTTGTGTAAAGGGACTGCAACCTATGACCAAGGGGTATATTCACTTGGCTAAGACAAACAGTCCCCAAACCTATAAAAAACACAAATAAGAAAAATGGGAATGAAATTTTGGCTTAACCTTAACCTGGTACACTCAATATGGGAGTGCCTATCTTGTTGGTGACGCCTTAGCGTATCTAACTTGCCCAGGATAAGCACATGAGTTTGATGGCGAGGCTTTAACTTATATAACTTGCCCAGGATAAGCACGTGAGTTTAATGGAGAGGCTTTATCTTATCTATCACAATCAAGTACAATTGGTTGTGGCGAAATAACCTAACCTAACATATCCTAACCAACGACACACAGAATTTTTCAACAAAAATTAAAAACTGTCATAAAATTGTGCAAGGATTTTATTCATATTTATATATATATACTCCAATTTGTTGCGTAAATCCTTTTCTTCAATTTTGTGACATGTTTCGTGCATGTTTTCTGCTTAACAACACTTGTCTCTGCCCATTTTTATGTTACAAACAGCTAGACATGTTTTGCGTATGTTTTCTGGTTGGTAAACCCCATTTCACTTTCCCTCCCTGCACATTTTTGAACATTATAAAAGCTAGGCTTCCAGAAGAGTATTTCTTCATCTAAACAGGGAACTGCTGTGGTGGTTGAGTGTCCAATAAACAAATGTTTCAGCCCATTAACGTACTAATAATCTAAGGCTTTCTTTGTCTTCCCACAATCCATTTATATCTGTAGCTGATTTGGTATTTTGATCTTAAATGAAGAGAAATGAATAAAAACTCGTCTTATAGATTTTAATAGTCAATAAACTATTGGAAACGCCGCAGGACGTTACGGACAGGACAATGACTTACCCGGCTCTGATGCGGCTCTTCTCGATAACATTGATTATTATAGAACTATAAATTGTCGTCCATACAGTTGAGGAAATATTTCATATACACATTATTTTATTGTTACAGAGACAAACATAACTGACTCTCATATCCAAGAGGTTCGAGCTGAGCAGATTCATGAAGTTCATGCTGAGACGGTCGTGCAGAATGTATCAAATATTGAGGGTAAGTTTGATTCTTCAGGATTTCCGGAGTTAAATAAATATAAACTAAATTTTGTTTTTTAGCAAATTGCCTATCATAAAACCAAAACTAGAACTTGAATTAACATATTTTGCATCCAACACATATTTGCTTCTGTCACTAATATTGTGAGATTGAAAAATTAGGAATTTCTGATCACCTCAATTTTGTTTTTAATTTACAAATCTAATGTACCTTATTTTAATATTTGAATAATTGGGGAGGTAAAAATAGCACAATTTTATTTATTTTTCGCTTGAATGCCCATTTTGAAAAACTAATATTTCATATATAAGATAATCTTTTCGTACAGAGACAAACATAACTGACTCGCACATTCAAGAAGTTCGAACTGAGCAGATTCATGAAGTTCGTGCAGAGGAGGTTGTGCAGAATGTAACAAACATTGAGGGTGGGTTTGATTCTACAGGTTTTGCAGAGTTGAAATAATATGAATATTGACTATGAACCAACACTTGTTTTTAGCAAAGTGTGAATATAAAACAGAAACTTAATCATTTTTTAATTGGTTCCATTACATTTGAACCCACGTACATTTGAACCCATGACAATTGCACCTGTATGCTGTTGCACCTATGGAATTTTTTTTGTTTCACGGATAGTTAAACCCATACTAACCCTAACCCATGGGTTTTAGCACCCGCATATAGATTGAACCCGTGGATATACGCATGGGTTGAAATGTACATGGGTTCAAATGTACGGTCACCTTTTTAATTCAATGCTTGCTTCTGCAGCGCACCTTGCCACTTTCAATAAATTTAACATGAATTATGTCTGTATGGGGGTTTTGAATGTGTTGCCACTTTTTTCAGCTTGAGCTCATTAAATATTTTTTTCTATGGAGAGTTTTGAGATGTGATATTTTTCGAAATTTGTTCAAAGCGGAGTACTGAGTGGGATTGAAAGTTTTAAATATTTTTTGCTACCTTTACAAATCTATGAAAATAAATTTTCAATTGATCAAAATCATACTCATCGATAATGTAAGGTACTCAGTGTCAATATTTAATGCTTATATTTTTATACCCACTTTTATTATGTCCCTCTAGTAAGGTGATCATTTGGCGCTCCAGAAGTAGGTGTATCAATATGTAGGTAACTAATTTTGTTTGCCTACTTTACATCAAGTTGTGTAAAGGGACTGCAACCTATGACCAAGGGGTATATTCACTTGGCTAAGACAAACAGTCCCAAACTTATAAAAAACACAAATAAGAAAAATGGGAATGCAATTTTGGCTTAACCTTAACCTGGTACACTCAATATGGGAGTGCCTATCTTTTAGTAGTACTCTGGTTACTTGACATTGATGCGGCTCTTCTCGATAACATTGATTATTATAGAACTATAAATTGTCGTCCATACAGTTGATGAAATATTTCATATACACACTATTTTATTGTTACAGAGACAAACATAACTGACTCTCATATCCAAGAGGTTCGAGCTGAGCAGATTCATGAAGTTCATGCTGAGACGGTCGTGCAGAATGTATCAAATATTGAGGGTAAGTTTGATTCTTCAGGATTTCCGGAGTTAAATAAATATAAACTAAATTTTGTTTTTAGCAAATTGCCTATCATAAAACCGAAACTTGAACTTGAATTAACATATTTTGCATCCAACACATATTTGCTTCTGTCACTAATATTGTGAGATTGGAGAATTAGAAATTTCTGATCACCTCAATTTCGTTTTTAATTTACAAATCTAATGTACTTTATTTTAATATTTAAGTAATTGGGGAGGTAAAAATAGCACAATTTTATTTATTTTTTGCTCAAATGCCCATTTTAAAAAACAATATTATTTCATATATAAAATAATCTTTTCGTACAGAGACAAACATAACTGACTCTCACATTCAAGAAGTTCGAACTGAGCAGATTCATGAAGTTCATGCAGAGAAGGTTTTGCAGAATGTAACAAAAATTGAGGGTGGGTTTGATTCCACAGGTTTTGCAGAGTTGAAATAATATGAATATTGACTAAGGACCAACACTTGTTTTTAGAAAAGTATGAATATAAAACATAAACTTAATCATTTTTTAATTCAATGCTTGCTTCTGCAGCGCACTTTGCCACTTTCATAAAGTTAACATGAATTATGTCTGTATGGTGGTTTGGAATGTGTTGCCACTCTTTTCAGCTTGAGCTCATTAAATATTTTTTTCTATAAATAGTTTTAGGATGTGATATTTTTCAAAATTTGTTCAAAGAGGAGTACTGAATGGGATTGAAAGTTTTAAATATTTTTTGCTACATTTACAAATCTATGAGAAGAAATTCTCAATTGATCAAAATCATACTCATCGATAATGTAAGGTACTGAGTGTCAATATTTTAATACTTATATTTTTATACCCACTTTTATTATGTCCCTCTAGTAAGGTTATTTTTTGGCGTTCAAGAAGAGTGTGTACCTATATGGAAGTACCGGTGACTAATTTTGTTCGCCTACTTTACATCAAGTTGTGTACAAGGACTGAAACCTATGACCAGGGGATATATTCATTTGACTATAACAGACAGTCTCCGAAATTCTAATAGAACTCAAATATATGGTAAATCGGAATAAGATTTTGGCCTAGCCTTAACCTGGTATACACACAATGGGAGTACCTATCTTTCAGTAGTACTCTGGGAAATTGACATTGCTCCTCCACTAGTTATCTGATCCGTTTATTTCAACTCTGATTACATTAGGGAAGATAAATATAAGTTTAATGGTGACACCTGAACTTATCTAACTTGCGTATGATGAGCACATAAGTTTGATGGTGAAGTCCCAACTTTTCTAAATTGCCTAGGATAATCAGATAAGTTTTATAGTGAGGCTTTAACTTATCTAACTTGCCCAGGATATGCACATAAGTTTGACGGTGAAGCCTCAACTTATCTAAATTGCCTAGAATAATTAGATAAGTTTTATAGTGAGGCTTTAACTTATCTAACTTGCCCAGGATAAGCACATGAATTTGATGGTGGGACTTTAACTTATCTAGCACAATCAAGTACAATTAGTTGTTGCGAAATAACCTGATCTAACATATCCCGACCAAAGACAAACAGAATTATTCAACAAAAATTAAAAATTGTCAATAAATTGTGCAAGGATTTCATTTATATTTATATATATACACTCCATTTGTAGCGTAAACCTTTTTCTTCAATTTTGTGACATGTTTTCTGTTTGACAATACTTGTCTCTGCATATTTTTTTATTACAAACTGCTAGACATGTTTTGCGTATGTTTTCTGGTTGATAACCCGCATTTCCCCTTCCTTCCCTGCACATTTTTGGACATTAAAAGAGCTAGGCTTCCAGAAGACCATTTCTTCATCTAAAGAGGAAACACCTGGGATGGTTGAGTGTCCAATAAACAAATGTTTCAGCCCATTAACCTACTAATTATCTAAAGCTTTTTTTTTTTTTATCTTCCAACAAGACATTTATATCTGCAGCTGATTTGGTAGATTGATCTTAAAACAAGAAAAATGCATAAAAACTCGTCTTATAGATTTTTATAGTCAATAAACTATTGGAAACGCCGCAGGACGTTACGGACAGGGCAATGACTTACCCGAGCACGCCCTCCCAAGCTGTGGTGGTGGGCAAACCGCTGCTCGCAAGAGTTCTTCTGCGGCTCTTCTCGATAATATTGATTATTATAGAACTATAAATTGTCGTCCATACAGTTGATGAAATATTTCATATACACATTATAATATTGTTACAGAGACAAACATAACTGACTCTCAGATCCAAGAGGTTCGAGCTGAGCAGATTCATGAAGTTCATGCTGAGAAGGTCGTGCAGAATGTAACAAATATTGATGGTAGGTTTGATTCCACAGGATTTCCAGAGTTGTAAAATTATAAAGATAACTATAACCCAACAATTTTTCATAAAATTGTTTGTTATAAAGCACAAATAATCGATGCTTAGGTATAATTACAAGTGAAGATACCTGCATTATGTTTTATGATTCATATTTATTTTGTATTTTGGATTAATTGACATGTCGCGATAAAATGCAATTTAAGCGCAATAGCTGTGATTTTAAAATAGCTGGAAAATATCTTATCTTTATGAATTTGCACAAAGCAATGACAGGTGCACTAACTTAGAGTGGGATAAAAGTTTTGATATTCATGTCACTAAAACTATCAACCATACCTATTTCCCGTTCCTTAAAGTCTCCATGAGTGGTCTCAATTATTGAATATCACATACAATATTTTGATATTTCACTAAATGAAGATATGGCCTATGACAAAATGACAAACGAGCTTACAAACAATTTGAAAATCTATTATCTTATATACATAAAATACAATTTATTTTTCAGAAACAAATATAACCGACTCTCTGATTCAAGAAATTCGAGCTGAGCAGATTCATGAAGTTCATGCGGAGAAGGTTGTGCAGAATGTAACAAACATTGATGGTAGGTTTGATTCTACAGAATTTTCAGAGTTGAAATATCTGAAAATTATCTAATGAACCAACACTTGTTTCAAGAAAATTATTTGGTATAAAACTAAACTATCTCACATTTATATCGAAATAAACTTGAATCACTATGCCTATTCTAGTATTGCTAGCTCAGGCCGTGTTGTTAAAAGTTAGTAGCTAGAATTAATCAGTAGCGAGCGAGGTAGATAAACCGTGATAATCATTGGATCTCCACTCCATTAGACCCTCATTCTCAGTCGTTCTGTATGTTTGTTTATCTGTCTGTCTGAGTGTCCAGCTGTAATGTCCAAACGACTGGGCTGATGTGAATGAATTTTTTTAGTATATATTATGTGATTGAGCCAAAGTTTAGGTTGATGTTTCATTTTCATGACAGCAGCGAAAAAACGACCTGATCATTGTCATTTTTGAATTGTTCATATTTTTTTTTCATAATTTTCTTGTTTAAGTAAGCCGAATATTGAAATTCCAAGAATGCTGACCTCCGCGGAAGAAAAATTTTCTCACACGCCATCTTTTTACTTGATAGTACATGAACTGGGGGTAATTTTAGTGAACTTTATTTTAATTATCAGCTGCAGCATATCGTTTGCACAAAATTACCGACCAGACGCACAGCACTATATTTGAGTGGTGCACCACTGGAGTAAACAATTGGAACTTGAGCTTTTTTGGGTTAATCCAGTTTATGGCAATAATTTGACAAAACAATCATACGCTGCTACTTATGATTACCATAAACCTATAGTTGATGAGTGGAAAATCCCAATTGGATAATTCCATGATCCTATCATATTTTTGAGAATTACATATTTTTTGCCACAAAGTTAGTTCAAGTGGTTCTTTTTAACGAGCATCACTCTGGTCACTCACCTTATTGTGATATTTATGTAATCGCTATATGGGTGTAGATTAATTTTCTTCTCCACCCAATAATACCAGATTTTTGAATCTATTTTCCAGAAACAAAATAATTTCTTTTTTACAGAGACAAACATTACTGACTCTCACATTCAAGAAGTTCGAACTGAGCAGATTCATGAAGTTCATGCTGAGAAGGTTGTGCAGAATGTAACAAATGGTGGGTTGGCTTCCAGATGATTTGAATGTTGAGAAGATTTTGAGAAAATTACCCAACGCTTGTTATCATTAGTTAGGTTTTACTTGAATGAAATAATAATCTCAAATAATATATTATGTGACAATAGCTAACTACCGTATATCCTCGCATTTAGGTCGAGTCTAAGAATAAAATCCTCAATAGATACTAAATCACATTTAGGAGATATTTCATACACTGTAAATTGCTGGAAACGCAAAAATTTTCCAATATGCTCGCCACTATCGAAACTACGGTAAGTATGAAGACAATTAGGACACAATTTGCTTTTAGAATTATTACTGTGGTCGCTCAGGATATCTCGACTACCTTAAAATACAGTTTACAATAATAATTGTAAAATATTTTCAATCGAAAAAATATTTGAAGTGTCAAAAGCTTTTCAAGTCGGCGCTGCTTAGGATTTAGGACAGGATTTACATATTTATCCCGGAGGAGAGGAAAGCTGATAAGACGGCTTACCCATATGACGACCACGACCTCTCGTCCGGTTACTAGTCCATGTGGGATTTGGGATTAGTTTTAATTACTTGTTTTTTCGGAAGCATGGACTTGGTGATGGAGGAAGACGTAACCGACCAGCAGTTACGTGAACCACCCTACGACGGCGAGGAGTTCAGCAATCCTCTCGAACATAACTACCCCGCATGGGATTCAAACCTGCGAACCCACGCAGGGTAATCAGAGATGCGGTGGCGAGCGTATTCCTAACGCTTAGCACGGTGAGCCACACCGCCGTGGCCTTTCATGCCGGCAGTACTTAATTGCCATTTGTCACACGACAATGGGCTGTCTTCGATTACGAAAAAATATATATATATATAACAATCAAAAAATGTTTTTAATCTAAACGTGGATGGAGGGGGCGCTAGAATGTGATATTCGATATTAATATAATCACTAAAAAGGATATTCTGGAGGTATTGAATAGCGATATTAAATATTAAATTCAAATTGAACATCCTTGGCAATGATAGGTGCGTATGGCCTTATACGATTTGCAGGGTCGACTTATATGCAATTTTTTATAAATTCACCGTTTTATGGCTGTTTTTAGAGGATCTTCTCATATGCGAGAATATACGATAGTTCTCCTTTTTAGTGCATGAACTTATTCGAAAAAATCAGAGCTTTATTGACAAGAGTATCTCTTATACTCAGCTTTCAATATTCTTAGATCTTTTATATTTAATGTTTTGCAACGATTTCTTTCCACAGAAACAGTCCTCAACAGTCCCAAGGAAGTGTATGTGAAGCACAAAGTTGTTAACAAAGTATACAACATTTTCCAAGCTCATGGTAAAAAAATTTATTCTCTTATTTTACAAAATTTGTGTAAAACTTTCATGTCCACAGCATATCCAGATTAGAATTAAATGAAATATAAAAAGTAGTCAACAACTGATTCTAAAGGGAGTAAATTAGATTAATATTTTTGTTTGAAAAAGAGAACAATTATGAGATATTTTTAAGTCGATACTTAGGGTAATGTGACGCCCAATATGAGTTGGCTGTTATTTTGCAAAACAAATCTTATCTCTATGGCATAGTATAAGTCAATGGAATTGAGAACAGAATGCTAAAAAAACTATTTTTTTCAGCTTTAAGCTCATCTTTTGATGTGCATCAGTTTATAGAAATAATAATCTGGGAAATGTAGGAAAATGGTTTTTAAAATATCTCTGGGGTCCAGTCTGGTATTTCCACACTTCTGTTTGCAGCTCCTCATTAATTAAACAGGGTCTTATTCTCTTATTAAGAACTGGTTCCAGATTCCCATTGTCTATAAATAAACTAGTAAATCTATGACTAGTAAATGAATTTCTCTGACTGGGAGGCATCTTTCTAGACACATCATTGCGTAGCGCTCAAGAAAATATCACATAATAAATTTGTGAAATATATGATCCTACTCGACTCCATTAATCTGTTTTCTGTTCTGCATTCCTGCTTTAGCTGGCCTCAACATCAATGATTTTGTTTGTTACACACTGAACCAGTAAATCTAAGTTGGTTTGTCAAATAAGAGATCTCAATCCCAAACCAATGATTCAGAATTGGGTAGTATTGAGAAAATCTGTTAATTTGATTACTTACATTTGGTTGTATAAATACACAGTCATGTTTGATTGAACTTATCATGAATAATAATAATTTGGTCAATGTTACAATGTCTTTAATTGTATTGTGGACATTTCCATACCTGTTTAATGGATTTTTGAAGATTACTTCCCACATTTGTTAGTCACCGTAACCTAAGCTTTGTGTCTAGTCCTCTAGTTCTCAACCATTGGGCCATGGCCCACTTCGGACTACTGCAAAATCTGGTTATTCAATTGCACACATTCAGTTGTGTGCATCTGATAAATAATGAGTCATAAATTCAACCTTGTTTGCATCACACTCTCACCAATTGCATTTAGACCAACCATCTTCAAGTTTCTCATCACCCAAACAGCAAAGACCGACTGAATCAGTTTCTCAACCAAATACAGCCCCTGATCCTGTATATAAAGGAGATCCATTGCCTCCGCCATCAGGTATGTCATAAAACAAATTCAGGTGACCCACAGGGCCACATATATATGATATACAAATGTAATTTTTTTCCATTTATACAATGATGTGGTATAAAAATATATCACCCAAAGATATTCGTTTTTTGACTGACGAAAACCATCGATAATGATTGTCAAATCAGCAAAAAGTACAAATGTGATGTAATAGTCGATGAGAGCAAATGTTTGAAATTGGACAGACTAATTCTTCTTCGAATGAAAACTGGCGAAGTTAAAGTTTTATTTCAAGAGTCACCAATAATTGGGAAAACATACTGAAATTTCAGTAATAAAAATTCATGATAAACCGACATTTTTTCAATTTAAAATCAAGTGGCAATCATGTTGTTAGGCTACAACGCTTATGACATATCAGTACAATTAATTAGCTAATTTCGGGTACTAGCAACTGGTCTTGTAACACCGGTTCTTTTTCAGAGGTGCATGAAACAAAAAGGGCCACAGAATGTTTTGGACAGTATATGAGTATTAGATTTTATTAGCAGTTTATTTATTCTTGTAAGGCTTTTGGAATAACGAATTTTATTGACTTAACTTGTAATGATCACAAAAATGGTAACAGCAACGGAGCAGAATAGTAGTGACTTAAATGTCAAGTTGAAAGCGAAATAAAATATATGATTACTTGGATTTGAACTATTATTAGATACATTAGTACGCCGCAAAATGCATTACGCTAATCGAGAGAATAACAAGATATGTTAAGTAACCTCAGGGCATATTGTTGAAGAAAGAAAATAGATAGGAGCTTAGGTGGCTTCAGTAGGGATGATGTCCATGGGTTTATTCCTTGACATTGCATCATGCTAATCGAGAGAATAACATGATATGTTAAGTAACTCCAGGACGATCTTGATGAAGGACGAGGAAAACAGATATGTGCGCAGGTGGCCTCAGTAGGGATAGTGACCATGGGCTTATTCCTAGACATAATTTGCTATATGTTCTAGCTGCCTCATCAGTTTTCTTCTCCTCCACAACAACAAAGTTTCAAGTATTCATTCAATTGAGTTTCAGTGACTAGTAGTCGATTAGAAGATAAATGCTCTGCTGATATCACAATTTGTTACTATTGTTATCAATATCCCATGTGCTTCCCAAGTATCTGTTTCTAGTTTATTATTAAAGGAATAAATCATCAGCAGCAACTTAATGGAACAAAGAATAATATTTTCGTGTTTATTCCTGTAGGCAATGATCCGGCCCAATCATATGGTAAACCATAATCTTTCTTCCAGTTACCAGCCTATGCCGGGTGAGAGAATAGTTAGTCAGTTATTTGTTTTTGTTGTATGACTTGATGGTAGACAAAGCTGTAATCACCCAGAAATTACATGAAACCAACTTGCATCGCGTCATTACGCTACAAGACATCCAAACCTTCGAACCCAAGTAGAAGTAACAGAGGTGCATCGAGCCAAAAGGAAATGATTTATGTTAGTACTTTTGCATTTTGTTCGAACTTATAGTTTCAATTCACTAGTTTCAATTCAATTAGTCTTTTTAGACAGTGTTTTAGGTTAGTTACAGTAGTTAGAATATGCTTTGGCTAATATTCAGTTCCAGTACCTCTGAATATATTTAACCTGCAATCTTTATAATGTGATTTCTGCAGCCATATTGCAAAATGTCCCCAAAACATGCATCAAGAATTCATTAAGGTAAGGTAGAGCAAGGATTCTAGCGTTTGAGGCCCAACATAGTTATTTTGTATTAAATGCTGAATTAGTTGAATAATGTTAAATTAATTTTTGCAAAATTGAGAATCTGTCAAATTTAGATTGAGAGACAATGAATAAGATATATGTGAGGCCTAGTAAGTCTGGTTGCCTAATGGCCTTGCTTGTTTATAGAATAAGTAGAATAGCATTGGTCATTGAATGTAGGTGAAAACGATCTTTGTGTGTCTAAATGAGAGAGAAGATCTCGGGTCAAACAACACAGAGATGATATTCATCTAAAACCAAAAATATTCAAAATTTCAAGTCTGAAAGAAACTTATGGCACTTTATACCTGGTTGCAAATGGAACTTTATTGTTTACTTATTTATTACGAACATTCTTTGACTGAATACTTAAATTTGTCATCATTCACTTGTTATCACAACTTCCATGCAGAAAGTTTTGTTCTTGAGAATTTTAGCTGTGTATAACAAAGAGTCTCTCTAGACACTTCAGACTGTGTGTTGACCAATATCTGATGGAAGCCTAATAAATTCTTTATAAATCCTGTCACTCCAGTGATGAGATCTATGTGTGCTTCCATCCAGAGTTATTTTTTCCTCACTTCGTAAATTGTAAAGGAAAAAGTACGGACTTATACATCACCTTGTTCAACATAGCTGCAGCTATTACTCTTCCACAATGCAATTTAGCAATTATACAAACTAATAAATATACGATTACAACACCAATATTAATAATCTAATTAGATCAACCTCTTTATCTTTATTAATTAAAAATATAGAAAATTTATGCTTTTATATACATATAGTAAGATTAGAAATTCATTATTACCATTTTCTCTCCAGGGGTTCTCGATAAAGTCTCACGCAGAATTAATAAAGGTAAATATTTGTTGTGTTCGTTTTATTCATATTTTGAAATAATAATTCATAGATAATGACATTGATATAATAATCTACCTCCAAGTTACTCACCTTTATAATGACCAAGTTTTGAAATAGTGGTCTGTTGTTACGAGCCTTATTGTAACTACACTCATAACTGTTAATAAGATAGCGATGCCTATTTTGCCAAACACACTTCATTAGATTGTAAAGACATATTTTATTAGAGGAATTATTAGAAACAAAAATTACACAATGTTACATACAATTGGATGCTCTACCACAATATGTAAAATGTAGCTACTCAATCGACACTTATCCACAAGATGTTTCTAGAAGAACTCTCTTGTTACCATAAATAATGAGAAATGAAAAACATCAAATCTTCAGGTCAGCGTGTGAAAAAGTTTATTGATTTTTTCAACAAGAGGACATGGGAAGAAACAGAAGTCAAAATTGCAGAAAACTACAAAAAGCTCAATGAGCCTGATTTTGAGGTCCATCCTAAATTAAAGAAAGTTCCAAACTTCTATGAGGGCCAAATGGCAAAGGAGTACAATAAAGAAAAGGGATTTGCTGTAACAGAGGGATCTGAAAAAATTGGTCAGTTGATCACTATGAACAAACTTAGCGAACAGCTTAGTGATGAAAGCTGTAAATACATTGCAATTACTGGGCAGGCTGGAAGTGGCAAAACGACAATTATGAAACGCGTGTCTCGAAGTGTTGTTGTTGCAAATGAATTGGTGAAAAAAGCTAGGAAAGCAAAAGGAACCGTCAGTCAATTGTTCCGCAAGAAAAAACGTCAATTTAGATTTGTTCATCATTTCGGTTTTAAAGATATGCCAGTTTCTTATGCTACAAGACCAGAAGATGCACTGAGCCCTTGCGATTTGCTTTTTGGAAAGATTGCACCTGGGTTCAAAAATCTAGAGTTAGAAGATGGATATGAATGGCTTATTGAGCATGATTACGAGTGTATTTTCTTCTTTGATGGTTTAGATCAGGCTATGTGGGATCTTCATGGAAATCATAACAAGATGAATTACTTTGACAAGTCAAGTACCGCTACAATTATATACAATATTTTAACGAGAAATCTTTTCCCCAGAGCGAAAATTGTTATTTCATCGCGTGAACACAAAATTGCATCCTTGCCTTTGGAATTACGGCCTCCATTCATAACTGCCCTTGCTGGTTTAGATCATGAGGACATCAAAAAGTTATTCGTTTCAGTTTTGGGCGAGACAGGTGAAGAATCCTGGAATAATTTAACAGTTCAATCACCATCACTCATCCAGTTCTCGAGCGTACCATTATTCTTGCTTCTTAATGCGATAGTTCACAAGTTCAACCCTGCAAATCCACCCGATACCATGACAGATGTAATGATACAAATACTCCATATTTTTATGCGATCCGATCATGCTCAGGAAAGAGGAAACATAAAGCAAAATATTCGCAAATTAATGGAAATGTCATTTGAAGGCACAAAACAAAAGCGCGTCATTTTTACTATCGATGATCTCAAAAAGGTAGGCCTTCATTCAGACGAGGTCCGCGATCTGATCATAAAAGTGCCTGGAAATAACATGCTAAGCCAACATCTTATGGAAGGCGACAATTTGATGTTCTTCAGTCACCAAATCCTGCAAGAAATCCTAGCCAGTCTATACATTGCCAACATGGATCTTGCCACTTTCCAGTTATTTATCGCTGAAGAGATCCACGATGATCACTGGTCAGTTGTTCTGCGTCTCCTGTGTGGAATTATTTTCAATCAAGATATCAAAACTGAATTCCTGAAAGATCTTACAACTGGTAAGTATCTGCCCAAGTAGAGCTACAACAATATATATTTAAATGTTAATTAAGTTTATGGATTTTTTATTAGTGTTCGATCGAGAAGCAAAGAAAGCATTACTTAGAGAAAGCCTCAAGAATAAAATGAGTCAATGTACGAGATCCTATCAAAAGTTGGAGTTGTTCGGTGCCTTGTATGAGGCCAATGATGCCGAACTTATTCAATCCCATGTACGAGGAATCAACTTCGAAGATGAGTCTTTCAATGCTGCAGGGATGTACGCAATGTCGTCGGTTATGCGACGTTGTGGTCACCTTGAGCAGTTTCGTCTTGTTAAATGTGACCTCAATGCTGAGCTGATGAAATGCTTGGATTTGAGTTTGAAAGGGTCTGGAGTGAAGGCAAGCATACTGCAGTCTTTTCGAATATTGCAGTAAAATGAGAATATAACCCATTCTTATGTGTACCAATATAAAGGCATCGATTTATATTTTGTTTGTAATTATGTTAATAATTAGTATGAGCAAACTATTCAATGAAATAATTCATTTATAATTAAATAGAACAAATCTTGTTTTATAGTAAAATTTCATGTTCATGATTCACTACCACCTTTTCTAATTTTATGCTAGTTACACTGTTTCATCTATGCAGGTATCTAAGATAGATATCAGTGGAAATCAAATGAATGAAGAAGCTTTCAAAAGTCTTGGTTCTGCTTTGGCAAGTATTGATGGTAAAGAAATGGAACTCAAACTTCAAATGTGCGGACTCACCAAAGAGAAAATCGATGCACTGGGAAGGAATACGGAATTAAAAGTTTGTTAAACCTCAATAGGTCATGTCTGGTAGAAAAAGGCTATATTTTTTCAATTTGAATTTTTTCAGTCTGAATGCAACATTTATTCACAATGCTCATTACAATTTCCTATAAAAGCTAAAATACCAGATATTAGTTCAATACTCTATAATATGATGCTTTTTCACTCCAAAGAAGACCCAGTATATGCAACCACTGTTATGTCAGGAAATACTATTCTTTGAAGGAATCCTCCTGGCTGAATATTGGAGTTGTTGAGGTATAAACCTGAGATATGTGACCAATTAAGTTAACGATTTAACCACTTTTTATCTAAAACACGTAAAATATTTGATCATCTAGTTCTACTTGAGAAAATTTAAAGATAAGATGCATCTCTGAGATTTTTGTTAATTTTTTTTTAATACGAACTAAGTTTTCATCTCCAACTCACTGGAAAGTTTGTAGTATCCTTGCTTTTGGTTTCACAATGTAATGTTCAAAAATCGATATTGACTTCTAATCTATCTCACCCAATGCTTTGACACTCGAAAATCTATTCTCATTTATCTTCAAAACTTATCACATAAATATCAGTTATTTTACAATGTTCAAGTACGTTTGTCTCAGCATATCCCATTTTCTTTTGTCTAACTTTATCTAAATCACGCAGATTCACACTCTCGATGTTCGAAACAATTCCAAGATCACATCCGATCTATTTCTTGCTATCGCTAAAGTTGCAACTCAAAATGAAGTCAAGAATCTTCTGACAGATCCATGTGAAGAATTACGTCTAACTACAGAGCAGCTGATGGAACTGAGCAAATGGAAAACTTGTGGGAAGGTTTGAAAATTATAGAATTGGAATTTTGTTTCATGATGTTTTCGTCTGTGAACTATTAATTACAAGGTTTACTCAAGTCTTTTTAAATTTGTGAAAAACATGAATTATGTTATTCCGCCCACTAAGATATATTGATGCAAATGTAAACATGGGTATGATTTAACCCAGTGGTTTGTTACCGTTCCCAACTGTTTTGCCAAGTGATACAAATTCTAAATAAAAAAAAATATGAATTTGGTAAAATCTCGTGACCTACGAATATGATCCAATATCAAATTGCAAGTAGCGCTTTTATAGCCGCAAAATTTAATACCGAATGTGACAGCAATATTTTTTCAGTAAAATTTAAGTAGCCAGGAATACTTCAAAGCTGCGCTTGTTTACATCAGTAAATTTGGGCAATTGTGGAATGGCCTTTCTTGAGTATAATGGGAAGTAATGTTGAACTGTAATGGAACTTCTCCGAAACATAGCTACAATCGTCAGTACATAGCAGCAAGCTGCATTATTGTCTGTACAGCTTCTTTAATCAGAGCTGAATTAACTTATTGTAATATCATAAACTTAAGATAGATGCTGATAAGCTTGGGTCACAACTCATACGTTAGGAAACACTCGATAGTCTAACCTGAGTCTTCTTCAAAACTTATTAGTTAAATATAGGTTATTTTACGATGTTCAAGTAAGTTTTCCTCAGCATATCCAATTTTCTTTTGTCTAACTAAATCACACAGATTCACACTCTCGATGTTCGAAACAACTCCAAGATCACATCTGATCTATTTCTTGCAATCGCTAAAGTTGCTACTCAGAGTGAAGTCAAGAATCTTTTGACAGATCCATGCGGAATGTTACGTCTAACTACAGAGCAGCTGATGAAATTGAGCAAATGGAAAACTTGTGGAAAGGTTTGAAATTTTAGACTGTAAATTTATATCAAACTTTTTCGGTACACGTTCGTCTGTGGGCTATTATTTACCTAGCTTTCTAAGGACTTTTTAAATTAGAGGGAACATGAATTATTTTGTTCAGCCCACTAAGATATATTGATGCAAATGTAAACATGGGTATGATCTAATCCAGTGGTTTGATATCGTTCCCAACTGTTTTGACAATCGATACAAATTCTGAATAAAAATAAAATATAGATTTGGTAAAATCTTGTGACCTAAGAATATGATCTAATATCAAATTGCAAGTAGCACCTCTATAGCCGCAAAATGAAATACCTACGGTAATATGAACGTAAACATTTTTAATTGAAATTTATATTGCCATGAATTACTTTAACGCTTGGTTACGTATGTAAATTTTGGATATTGTGGAATGGCTTTTCTTGAGCATAATGGGAAGTAATGTTAAACTGTAATGGATCTTTTCATAAACATAGCTACAATCGTCAGTACATAGCAGCAAGCTACGTTATTATATGTACATCTTCATTAATCAGAGCTTAAGTAGCTAATTGTAATATTATAAACTTAAGATAGATGCTGCTAAGCTTGGGTCACAACTCATACGTTGGGAAACACTAGATAGTCGGACCTGATCCTTCTTCTAAACTTATTACCTAAATATAAGTTATTTTACAATGTTCAAGTATGTTTGTCTCAGCATATCCCATTTTCTTTGTCTGACATTATCTTAATCACACAGATTCACACTCTCGATGTTCAAAATACTTCCAAGATCACATCCGATCTATTTCTTGCAATCGCTGAAGTTGCAACTCGGAGTGAAGTCAAAAATCTTCTGACAGATCCATGCGAAGAGTTGCATCTAACTACCAAGCAGCTGATGGAACTGAGCAAAAGGAAAACTTATGGAAAGGTTTGAAATTTTAGACTATGAATTTATTTAATTTTTTTTTCAAGAGGCGTTTGTCTGTGAACTATTATTTACCTAGCTTTCTCAAGTCTTTTTAAATTTGTGGAAAACATGAATTATTTTGTTCACCGCACTAAGATATATTGATGGAAATGTAAACATGGGTATGATCTAACACAGTGGTTTGATTCCGTTCCCAACTGTTTTGCCAAGAGATACAAATTCTTCATTAAATAAAATATAAATTTGGTAAAATCTCGTGACCTAAAAAAATGCTCAAATATCAACACGAACGCAGTAATTTTTCAGTGAACTATATATAGCCAGGAATTTTTTTTAGAAAATTTTGAGAAATGTTGCATGACTTCTTTAATCAGAGCTCAAGTAAATAAGTGTAATGTCATGAAGTTTAGATAGATGCTGGTAAGTTTGGGTCACAACCCAACTTGGGAAACACTCAATAATCTAACCTCATTCTTCTTCAAAACTTATGACATAAATATAAGTTATTTTACGATATACAAATACATTTTAGTCAGCATATCCAATTTTTATTCGTCTAACATTATCTTAATCACACAGATTTGCACTCTCGATGTTCGAAACAATTCCAAGATCACATTCGATCTATTTCTTGCAATCGCTAAAGTTGCTACTCAGAGTGAAGTCGAGAATCTTCTGACAGATCCATGTGAAGAGTTACATCTAACTACAAAGCAGCTGATGGAATTGAACAAATGGGAAACTTGTGCAAAGGTTTGAAATTTTAGACTGTAAATATATATCAATTTTTTTTCATGAGTCGTTTGTCTGTGAACTATTATTTACCGAGTTTTCTCAAGTTTTTTTTTTAAATTTGGGAAAATAAGAATTATTTTGTTCAGCCCACTAAGATATATTGATGCAAATTTTTGCAACCACACATTGGTAAACATTCCATAATTAAAATCCTCATTCTTTTACAAAACTTGTAACATAAATATCAGTTATTTTACAATGTTCAAGTACGTTTGTCTCAGCATATCCGATTTTCTTTTGTCTAACGTTATACAAATCACACAGATTCACACTCTCGATGTTCGAAACAACTCCAAGATTACATCCGATCTATTTCTTGCAATCGCTAAAGTTGCAACTCAGAGTGAAGCCAAGAATCTTCTGACAGATCCATGTAAAGAGTTACGTCTGACTACAAAGCAGCTGATGGAACTGAGCGAATGGAAAACTTGTGGAAAGGTTTGAAATTTCAGACTGTAAATTTTTTAAATTTTTTTTTTAGGTGTTTGTCCGTGAACTAACATTTTTCGAGCTTCCTCAAGTCTTTTCAAATTTATGGAAAACATGAATTATTTCGTTCACCCCACTAAGAAATATTGATGCAAATGTAAACATTGGTATGATCTAACCCAGTGGTTTGGTATCGTTCGCAACCGTTTTGTCAAGTGAAACAAATTCTTCATAAAATGAAAAATAAATCTTTTAAAATCTCATGACCTAAGGAAATGCTCAAATATAAAATTGCAAGTAGCGCTTTTATAGCCATAAAATTGAACACCTAATATGAATGTAATATTTTTTCTTTGAACTATATATAGCCAGGAATATTTTCAATAAATTTTGGAAATTGTGGCATGGCTTCATTATTCAGATCTCCAGTAACTAATTGTAATACCAAGGTTAAGATAGATGCTGCTAAGCTTGATCCACAACCAATACGTTGGGAAACACTCGATAATCTAACCTCATTCTTTTTCAAGGCCTATTACATAATATAAGTTATTTTACTATGATCAAGTACATTTTCCTCAGTATATTCAATTTTCTTTTGTTCAACATTATCTAAATCACACAGATTCACACTCTCGATGTTCGAAACAACTCCAAGATCACATTCAATCTATTTCTTACAATCGCTAAAGTGGCAACTCGGAGTGAAGTCAAGAAACTTCTGGCAGATCCATGTGAAGAGTTACGTCTAAATAAAAAGCAGCTGGTAGAACTGAGCAAATGGAGAACCTGTGGAAAGGTTTGAAATTTAGAATCTAAATTTCGATATTATTGAATTTTTGTGAATGTTCTATTATATATACTATTACTTACGTATGGATATAGAGTTACTTTGCTTTCAAAAATCATTAAGAGTTCTCCCTTTGTCATTATTTCGTTAAATTGAATATTTATCTCATTGATATTTAGGATAGTGTCGATATAAGTCCTTGAAACTTTCCAATTTAAAAACTTTGAATCTCTTTTGGAAAAGAGAGGATACCATCAAATCGTAGACAATTTTTCCTGGTGTTTTGATAAATTTGGTGGCATCCAGCAAATATTTGTGAATTTCGAATATTGGCAATATTGTAAAACCTATCATTATTTACATTATATTGAATTATTTCATAGGGGAAATAGATTTTGACTCGAAATTTTGAAAAAGTGAATGAATGTGTAGCTTCATTGTGGCCTTTCGTCTCTAAATTCCATCAGTTTATAAGGTCATTGTTGAATTCTTGTGACATAAATTTTAGATGATGTTATCAGGGGGGGATGATGTTATCAGGATCAGAAATAGAATATGCAATAATTATTATGACATTTCCACTGAACTACTTCGGTATTATGCTATACTATCCATCTCTATGTTTCAGTAAATATATTCTCTTCATTATGATTGTTTACTGCCTGGCTGTGAGTGAAGATATATAATGCTCACATTGATTGTTGAGTCTTTATGTACATGGTAATACTACATCCATAGCTGTCGTCGGTGTAAAAACAAAACACTTAATGCAAAACGTGCGGATCTTATATTTGCCCATCATTTTATGCGAAGAAAACGTTGTGTAGTTGTTTATCGAGATCTAATATTTAACAATGCTTCTACTTGCATTGTGTGTCTTGTCTTGTATTTAATATTTGACAAAATCCCACCTTATGATTAGGTTTATCATTATTGACTCTTTGATATTATTTATTTCAGTTGGATAAACTAGTTGTCAGTCACAACAAGGATCTTGGCGCTGCTGGTTTTCGTGAAGTTGGATTGGTTGTTACACAATGTCAGGTGAAAGCATTGGAGGCTCGGGATTGCAATCTGACAGCAGAAGGAATGAAGACATTTAAGGAAAACACTCACAATGCAAAGGTAGGAGCAAATCATTTGGTTTTGCCCTATTTGGGGAGATAAAAGTGCATTTAAGTTGGATTTATATAGTACTATATATATTCACACATGACCCAAATATCCCATTCTTTGATGTTGAACTTTATCAATGGCCCATACTCGACCTTGTACAAACAAACAGATTCTGTCTTTTCACACTGTGATGTGAAATAAGAGAAATATACTGTTATTTCATTGTACTTGTTAAATATACGGGTAGTTGGCTTGCGGGCAATGCATTAATAAAAATTCAGAAGGAAGTCTGTCATGTAATATCTAGAACAACTTGTAACCATTAATTTTTGTGTCATTGGAAGGTTATATTTTCATAAATATCGACTAATTATTGGTGAGAAGGAATACAAACTTTCTAGATATTTCATTCATGTCGCTATTCATAATGAGCAATTGAAAAAATAAAGCATTCATAAAGCAAGTTTCAAAAACTTTTTCAAAACAACATCAATGTTATCTAATTGAGATTAAAACCAACACCTACATCTGTTACCAAATACTTGTTTAATGTTCACAATATTCTTTGTTCAAACAGTGAATCTAACATCTTCAATGCATAAATGCGTTGGTTATTTTAAGTCCTGTCTAGATTTTGGTCAGTTTACAAGGTCATTGTGAAATCCAGATGACATAATTTTCAGATGACGTCGTCAGGCAGGGTTCAGAAACGACATATGCAAAAATGGCTAGGACACGTCCACCAGAAGTACTTTGGTATTATGCAATACCATCTATCTATATGTTTCAGTAAATATATTTCCTTTATTCTATTAGTGGTGGTCACTCAATGCCAACTCTAAAACGGTGTCCACTTGGATCACAGTGTGCCACAGCTGTTGGTACTAAAATTAAATTGTGGACGCGGTCTTTTTCTTGTTATGCTCTGATGGGACGGCACCTTCAAGAACGAATATTACAGCCTGTTTTCTCCAAATCCCCATAAACAACAGTCTACTTGTCTGGATACAATCAAATGTATTATAACTCGGAAAACGTTTAACAGTCGCTCAAGGATTGCAAAATAAGGTCGAACACAATAACAATCGCCAAACAGTTAGTGAGGTACGAAAAAGCCAGTAATTAATTATGGTGTCACTCGGGTATAAACAAATGCAGTACCAATAGATTCTAAACAGTGAGAAAACAGATAATTGTTATACTTAAAGAAACACGAATTTATTATAAATACATATCCATGTCGGGAGAGACAGAACTAACCAATGACTGCCGACCGGGCAATTAACCTACACGACAGTACGCGACTCGCGAGGAACGCAAGTGAGAACACATGATTCAAACCCAAAGTCAGAAGGTGACTACTCTCTTGCATTACCCAGTGGACATAAACCCACGGGTACGTGTGTCAATATTGCACTTTGTGAATCCATTACTCTTACAATCATATTTATTTATATTTTGCTCTGAGTGAAAATATATAACGACTACTCAGAAAATCCTGGAACTGTACTTCACCAATCACCTCGCATTGATTGTTGAGTCTTTATATTCATGGTTATACAACATTCTGTTGTCGGTGTAAAAATGAAATAATATATAATATGCAAAAAGTGTGGTTCTCATGTTTGTCCATCGTTTTATGCAAAGAAAAAATCCTGTAGTTGTTTATCGAGATCTAATATATGACAATGCTTATACTTACATTGACAGTGTCTTGCATTAGTATTTGGCAAAATCCGACCTTATGATATCAAGATTGGTTTACTGATCTTATTTATTTCAGTTGGATAAACTAGATGTCAGTGGTAACAAGTATCTTGGCACTGCTGGTTTTGGTGAAGTTGGATCAGTTGTTACACAATGTCGGGTGAAGGCATTAGAGGCTTGGTTTTGCAATCTGGCAGCAGAAGAAATGAAAGCATTTAAAGAAAACAGTCGCAATGCAAAGGTAGGAAGAAAATCATTTGGTTTTGTCTTACGAAGCAGGAAAATTCATATATACAATTAATCATTGAAGAACATTGAAGTTCAAACTTACCAAGTTTAAAATATAAAGCAAGTTTGAACATCGAACTTAATTACAAAAAGGAAGAACTTGAATAAAAAGACTATTTCAGACTATGCAAGGACATGTACATAAAGATACTTATTCTAAATCATCATCTATTACAATGCATGTTGTTGAATATTGACAAAAAGTTGAATTAATTTTCATTCTGCTGACCATCAGGAGTAACTCAGTTGCCATATTCTGATTATTAAATAAAATTAACCAAGTATTCACTACATCGCACTGAACTAATTTCAAAAATAGTTTTATTATTCAATACATTTGTGCTTGGACATGAGCAGTTGTCCAATTTTGAAAATTGTGGATAATTCATTCGAATTCATCACCCTGGGTATGCCAAATAGAAAGTGATTTCAATGTAGAGTATATTGCTAACTAAATACCATTGCAATTTAGTTCAATATGACCAAATCCACTCTAGATTTGACCCCCACAGGAAAGCAAACCGGCCATATAGTATAATAACATTGAACAGTCAAGGTTAACTTCAAGTATAAGTATACGTCAAAAATAAATGATATCCTTGGGCGTGGAATTTCACCAATATTACTCTAACTATGTCAGTCCCAGTTTACAAAAATAATAAATGAATGTGAAATAATGTGTGCCTCGACCAAAAGAGCCGTCGTGGCGCGCGACAAAAATCGCTCGCCATGAGAAAATTGAAGCGACGCAAAGCGTGGCGCTTTGTATGTAAACGGCGTCATTTGAAACAATGGGGAGCGATCTTGGGCGCATGCTACGTCGCGACGCATCCAGTGTAAACGCCCTTCAACTGACTTTCATATTTCACCAAATCCAAGATATGTAGACTCACTATCACATGAACATGCGTAATTCTCAACCAAAGTATAATATTTAACAATGTTTCTGCTTACATTCAATGTCTGTGTCCTGCATTTAGTCTTTAACAAAATACTACCTTATGATATCATGATTGGTTCACTGATCCTATTTATTTCAGTTAGATAAACTGGATGTCAGTTACAACAAGTATCTTGGCACTGCTGGTTTTGGTGAAGTTGGATTAGTTGTTACACAATGTCAGGTGAAGTCATTCGTGGCTATGGATTGTCATCTGACAGCAGAAAGAATGAAAGCATTCGAGGAAAACACTCGCAATGCAAAGGTATGAAGCAAATCATTTGTTTTCGTCTTATTGGGGTAGAAATTAAATGCACTTAAAAGTTGAGTTGAGAGATTAATAATATATACAGTCAAGTATGGACCAAACATTACCATTGTGAACGTCAAGATTCATCATTGGTCCATACTCGAGCTACTGTTAACAAACACATTCTGAGTTTTCTTCGCTATAGCTGTAGGATCACACTGTGAAGAAAAATAAGGCGATTTACTGTTATTCCATGCTGCCTGAATGTCAAAACCTACTGAACATAAAATCTTTTTGGCCATAAATGAGAATCTGATCAAAAAGAACTCCATACCACTACTACGAGCAAACACTCATATGGCAATATCTTGATATTTTTCCAACATTTTACACAAGCACAATTGTTTAACATTCTTGACTTCTCTGGTGTATTCCAGCTGATCTTAATTAACCTGTTCTTCAGCAAAACCATTGCATTTTCTCAGATTTGTATTAGCAACATAGCAAGTAAACTTGAATTCTCATCTAAACACAAAAAGAAACAAAATGAATTCAAGCGGTGTCGCATGATCATCTGGCAACATGATAGTTCTGGTTCATTTTTCATGATTACAGCAAGCCAAATCAACATTCAGACTAAATTTAAATTATTCTTGCTGAAGTAGGGGCATTGAAGCAATGGCCAGCAGTTGAAGCGTTAGACTGACCGTGTTTGCATCATAAGCCAATTTACACATCTCTAGCCCACCCTCTCACACAGGTTGTGATCAATTCGAATCTTTTGATTCTACAAAACAAAGTAGCTCTGTATGTGTTAATGGCTTGGGTAACTTAGTTCGACAAAGAGTGTGTATTTTAGTAGATTCATCTTGCTGTAACTCCTAATTAGTCTATTCACCATTGATCTGTTTTATGTGGGTGAATCCACATAATGTGGTCACAGTTAACCATGAAGAAACCTTCACCACTTTCATGTCATGAAACTGCCATTGCAGTCATTTACCAGTAATTCAAGACATGTTTATCAAATCTCTCTAAATTTGAAAAATAGATACTTTTTAAGAATAATTGTCTGTCAATTTTCACTAAATCAAGTTCTGTAGACTCATCATAACATGGACATGCATAATTCTCCAAACCATATAACTATTTAACAATGTTTATTATTAGCATTCAAGGTCTATGTCCTGTATTTAGTATTTAATAAAAATCCCACTTATGATATCATGATTGGTTCACTGATCTTATTTATTTCAGTTGGATAAACTAGATGTCAGTTACAACAAGGATATTGGCACTGCTGGTTTTGGTGAAGTTGGATCTGTTGTTATTACAATGTCAGGTGAAAGTATTTGAAGCTCGGGAATGCAATCTGACAGCAGAAGGAATGAAAGCATTTAAGAAAAACACTCGCAATGCAAAAGGGTAGGAAGCAAATCATTTGATTTTTTCTTATTGGGAAGAAAAAAATAAAATGCATTCTGGTGATTAAGAGAGTTTATAGACAAGGTTAAACGCAAACAATACCTTCTTCACTCGATCTTGTATGAACAAAAAATTACGAGTTTTTCTCAACAAAAAACTACTTTGAAGAAAAATAAGGCAAATTTACTGTCATTTCATGCTATCTTAACGTAAGAGTTTACTTAACATAAACCTATTTTGCCTTAAATTAAGAATCTAATGATAGCAACTTCATAGCACTGCGAACTACCTCGGATGTAACAAAATCTGATTTGTTTAAACATTTTACAAGCAGAATAGTTTAATATTCTCAAATTCTCTGGTGTATCCCAGCTGATCTTAATTAATCTGTTCTTCTGCAAAACCAATGCATTCTATCTCAGGATCCCACCAGACATCATATCTTTAATTCAAGTCACTGCAATGCTATCACTCCCAAATAAATGTAAATACACAAATTCAGGGAAATACATTGCTGTTTTTCTTGATGGATTTATTAATAGAAATGCTTGATACCAGTTTCATAATTGTTTGATCCAAGTTTTCAGTCAGTTTTAGTCCCAAATCTCTGATCTTATTTATTTCAGTTGGATAAACTAGATGTCAGTGGCAACGAAGATCTTGGCACTGTTGGTTTTGGTGAAGTTGGCATCGTTGTTACACAATGTCAAGTGAAAGCGTTCATTTCTCGGTTTTGCCATCTGACAGCAGAAGGAATGAAAACATTAAGAAAAACACTCGCAATGCAAAGGTAAGGAAGCAAATCATTTGGTTTTTCTTATTGGGGAAGGAACTAAAAATGCATTTAAGTTGGATTGAAGAGATGATATATATAGTCAGCATGGGCCAAACATCCATTCCTCGATGTTGAGCTTTATCAATGGTCCAACTCGACCTTGTATAAACAAACAGATTCTATGTTTTAAACACTGTGATGTGAAAGAAGAGAAATATACTGTTATTTCATTGTACTTGTTGAGTATACCGGTAGTCGGAAAACACTCGCAATGCAAAGGTAGGAGGAAAATTATTTGGTTTTGTCTTATTAGGGGAAGAAACTAAAATGCAAAAGAAAAGTTGGACTGAGAGAGTAATATATATAGTCAAGCATGGACCCAACAGTACCTTTCTCAATGCTGGGCTTTATCATTGACCCATAATCGATCCTTTATTAATCAACATATTTTGAGTTTTTCTCACTCAAACTGTATGATCACACTGTGAAGAAAAATAGGGCAAAGTTACTGTCATTTCATTGTACCTGAATATTTGAATTTACTCAACATTTTGCCAAAAATCATGTTTTGATAAAAACTAACCTTATAGCACTGCTATGAACAACCAGTTATGTATCAAAAGCTTATTTTTTTCAATATTTACTGCAAGTAAAATTTCAATTCTTGAATTCTTCGGTATATCCCAGCTGATCTTAATTTACCTGTTCTGCAGCAAAATCAATGCATTATATCTAAGGAGCCCGCCAGATGCCATAATTTTGGTTTGGGTCACTATAATGATATCATTCTCAAATAAAAATGAAATGCATAAATTCAAGGAAATACATTGATGTGTTTCTTGATAGAAATTTAATGGGAATGCTTGATACCAGTTTCATAATTGTTTGATCCAAGTTTTCAGTCAGTTTTAGTCCCAAATCTCTGATCTTATTTATTTCAGTTGGATGAACTAGATGTCAGCCACAACAAGGATATTGGCACTGCTGGCTTTGGTGAAGTTGGATTGGTTGTTACACAATGTCAGGTGAAGGCATTGAAGGCTCGGGATTGCAATCTGACAGCAGAAGGAATGAAGACATTTAAAGAAAACAGTCGCAATGCAAAGGTAGGATGAAATCATTTGGTTTTGTCTTATTGGGGAGAAACTAAAAATGCATTTAAATTGGGTTGATAGAGTAATTTATATAGTCAAGCATGGACCGAACAGTAAGTACCATTGTGAACGTTAGGATTTATCATGGTGCCATACTCGATCTATTATAAACAAACACATTCTGTGTTTTCCTCATTCAAATTGTATGATCACACTGTGAGAAAAAATAGGGCAAATTCACTGTTATTTCATGTGAAAAATTAAATAGGTTTTCTTCATGGTTGACTTCGACCACATTTTGTGGATTCACCCCCAGATAGCCAGAGCAGTAGCGAAAACGGACCTTATTAGAGATACTTTCAAAACTTACGAAACATAAAACCTATTTTTCCATAATTGAGGATATGATCAAAAAGAACTTTATAGGACTACTACGAACACTACTGACATATGGCAATATCTGAATATTTTCCAACATTTGCTGCGCAACAGAATAGTTTGATATTCTTGATTCCTCTGGTGTATTCCATCTGATCTTAACTTGTTCTACAGCAAAACTATTGCATATATAAAAGGTGGTTTCCAGAATTTGTATTAGCAACTTAGCAAGTAAACTTGAATTCTCATCTAAACACAAAAAAAGACAAATTGAATTCAAACGTGTCGCATGATCATCTGGGGAACATGATAGTTTCCGGTTCATTTTTCATGCTTACAGCCAAAGCCAAATCAACATTTAGATTAAATCTAATTATTCTTCCTGAAGTAGGGACATTGAGCAATGGGCCTAGCAGTTTAAAGCGTTAGAGACTTGACTGTGTTTGCATCATTAGCCCATTATGTGTTAATGGCTTGGGTAACTTAGTTGGGCAAAGAGTGTGTAATTTTGGAGGATTCATCTTTCTGTAACTCCTAATGAGTCCTTCCACAACTGCTTTGGAATCCACAAAATGTGGTCGATGTCAACCATGAAGAGAACCTAAATTCCGTATTTCCCGGCCAATAATCAAATACGACGGGACTGAGAATTGTATCAATAATTTTATATGGTTAGAATGAGGTCATGTTTACTTCAGGTAGAATAATACTCACAGCATTAATTCCTAACACTAAAACGGTAATTTCAATCATTTTGAACAACCCATTGGCTGAAACGTTGAAATAACCTATGAATGTGGTGTGAAAAGTATTGTGCTGTATGTCCATGGGTTAGTTTACAGTTGTGTTTTCCAGTCTGGTGTTGTTTTACATTATAAAATATATCAACCCATACATGAAGCTTATGCAAATCATGTTTGAGAAAACTTGGGAAAAATGACTAGACTCCAGAAAAAAATAAAATAAACATCCCTGCCCAATAAGACGGACCCTTCAAAATCAGGCCAAAAATTTGGGTCTAGAAAATCGACTTAATAGTCGGGAAATATGGTAATTTTATATCACAAAACTGGTCATTGAGTCATTAACCAGCATTTCATGAAATATCTGTTAAATCTCTCTGAACAAGTCCTGCAAGGCAAATAAATACATTATCATATATTGCCCAACATTGATATAGGTTGAAGACTTTCTGAATGTTTATAACAGTATTGAAAACAAATACATTTGAAGAATAACTGACTGTAAAGTTTCACCAAATCCAAGTTCTGTAGACTCATCATAACATGGACATGCATAATTCTCAAGCCAAATATTTTTTAACATTTATATTTTTGCTTACATTCAATGTCTGTGTCCTGCATTCAGAATTTGACAAAGTTTCACTTTATGATTAAGTTTATTATGATTGGCTCACTGATCTTGTTTATTTCAGTTGGAGAAACTAGATATCGCTGGCAACAATCTTGGCACTGCTGGCTTTGGTGAAGTTGGAATCGTTGTTTTACAATGTCAGGTAAAAGCATTGGAGGCTCAGTATTGCAATCTGACAGCAGAAGGAATGAAAGCATTCAAGGAAAACACTCACAATGCAAAGGTATGAAGCAAAGCAATCGGGTTTGTCTTATCGGCGAAAAAAATAAAAATGCGTGTCTGGTGGACTAAGAGAGTTTTATATATAGACAAGATTGAAGCAAACAATACATTCTTCACTCAATATTGTATGAACAAACAGATTACGAGTTTTTCTAACAAAAACATACTTTGAAGAAGAGTAAAGCAAATTTACTGTCATTTCATGCTACCTTAATGTAGGAGTTTACAAAAGAAAAATCTATTTTGCCTCAATTACGAATCTAATGGAATTTCTCTTAATCCTAGCACTATAAACGAACATTAATGTAACAAAAGTTATAATTCTATAACAGAGTTGTTTGGTATTCTCAAATTCTCAGGTGCATCCCAGCTGATCTTAATTAAGCTGTTCTTCAGCAAAACCATCGCATTCTATCTCAGGATCCCAGCAGATTTCATATCTTTGGTTTAAGTCACGATGGTGTTATCTCTGCCATATAAAAAGAAATAATGAAAATACATTGCTGTGTTTCTTGATAGAATTTTTAAAGGAAACGCTTCATACCGATTACATAATTTTTCGATCCAAGTTTTCTGTTAGTTTTGTGCCCCAAATCACCGGTTTTTGGATTTCTGGGTTATATTTTTTGAATACAGTCAAACCAAACCCACATTAGAGTTGAATATATTTATTCTTGCTGAACTATTCGAGAGAGGCTCCCGCACATTCTTCCAACTACCTGATCATTCCAGGACATAATGACCTTGTGATCAGTACATTAGGTCGAACCTAGTGGTGTTATTTAACCATATCGATGCACAAGGTTGGAGATTTCAAGTTCAATGCAAATCTACAATCAAAGTGTAATTATATTGTGAAACTATGCCGTATTGAAAAAGAATTTTGCCATCAATTTTCAAAACGTGGCAGCTTTATTCAAAGTTTCTCCGTAGATTCATCTTGCTGTAACTCCTATAATCATTTTGGCTATCGCTGCAACCCTGCGGGTGTAAAAAGTGTTTTTCCACATCTTCATCCCACATTTAAAATAATGTCTATAAGAGTGGCTCCCAACTGCTGGTCCGGTATCAATGCGCGAAGCGTGGATGCCTGTCTGTGATATTTTTTGTTGATTTTCCGCCAGGGTAACCACTTGATTAACAAAGCGACAAAGTTAAAATTGTCCTTTTAAGCGATTTTCACTTTTTCACTTTTTCACAAGTGTGGTTTTGCCGCCTAGTGTTTTTCAGGTTTCGATCCTTTGCGAAAGTATTATGAATTCCGCAAGTATCTAAAACCTAAAAATCTAAGCACATGCTATTGTCCACATCGCCTCGCATGCAAGTGAACAATGGTACATGAGTATTATTGAGACAACAAAATAGACAGATTTTAAAACAAGAATTCTAAGCATGTAGTAGTTCATTTGCAATTTTCTCTGAACTGTACGTCAAGTATAAAAATACTTGTTACAAAACTTTGATCGGAAATATATTGTTAAATTATTTAAATTTGAATAATCCACCCAGATTTGTATTAGCATCGTAGCAAGTAAACTCAAAATTTCATCTAAATGCTGAAAAGATAAATTGAATTCTAGCAGTGTCGCATGATCACTTGCCAACATGATAGTTCTGGTTCATTTTTCATGCTCAAAGCCAAATCAACATTCAGACTAAATATAATTATTCTTGCCGAAGTGAGGGCATTAGAGCAATGACCTTAGAGCAATGACCAAACTGTGTTTGCATCATAGCTTAGTTACACTTCATTAGCCCACCATATCACGCAGGTTGTGATCATTTAGAATCTTTTGATTCTACAGAACAAAGTAGCTTTGTATGTGTTAATGGCTAGGGTAACTTAGTTCGGCAAAGAGTGTGTATTTTAGTAGATTCATCTTGCTGTAACTTCTGATAAGTTCTTTTACCACTGCAGTTGGATCATTGGAACAATGCTCTAGTCTAGCAGATAAGGCATTGGAATTAAATGTGATGGCAATGCAGGTGACACATTACAGGTTCCAATCGTGTGCCCACCCCCTCGCATCCGGTGTGTAATAAATTAAGTAGACGATGCCGAACTGGAAAAATTCAAGACCTTCCAAATGATAGTTTTTTCTTACACATCGTAAGATAAAAGTAACCTCTTGTACCTGGCCTTGCCTTTTCATTATTACGGCTTTGCGAAAACATAAACCAATTACTGATAATCCACCCAATGGTTTTAGCTGATGCTGAAATAACCGGATTTTGAAACATCACACATTTAAAATTGTAGCTGTAAAATTCAAGCGAAACCATTATTCAATCTATGTTTTACTTGGGATACATTACATTCTCATACTCAATCAGAGCCTATGAGATTGCGCAATCACATGGCCCCGGGCTCTAGTCAGTTACCAGTCCTGATTAGGTATGGAATAATCAACCATTCACTGGTTACAGATACATACTTGAATGACGAAAGAAATGCCAACCGACCTGCAATTATGTGATCTCCCAATCCTCTTATTAGGCCTGTGAATCAAAGAAATCATTACAACTGACTGTAAACTCTGAGCTATATAAAACAATTCTGCCTATCCTGTGTAATAACAACATCTCCCACCCCCTTTATTCAACAAGTTCCAGCATTGACTCAGTCAATGACGATGACAAATATTCAAAAACAAAACGAAATCAACTTTTTTTACAGATTAAAACCTTGAATCTGAGTTGTAACTCAATCATCAAACTCAGAGATGAAGGATTATCTACAATCAGTGAAATTGTTCATCAATGTCAGGTTCTAACATTGAGGATGTATAGATGCGACCTCAACAATGATCAGTTGGAAGGATTCAAAGCATTGATTGCTGATACCTGGGTTGAGTTCAGATATTAATGCAAAACACGGAATGTGACAATCAGGCATTGGAATCAGTGGGAACAATTCAAATCAATATGATTCCAGGGCTGATTTTAGTTTCTAAGACTTTCTATACTAAATCTATATGAGAGTAAAGTTAATGAGGTGGTTTAATTATAGGAAAACCCAAAGCAACCAGAGGTGGCAGAGTGGAATCCAACAATACTCTCACATATAATTACCTACCGTGGGATTTGAACCTGCGAATAAGCGCAGGGTAATCAAAGGTGTGATGTCAAGAAACGCGTAGCACAATAAACCACGCCGCCGAGCATACCGATATATTCTCCATTTAACACATATGAGAGGAAGCCTGTTGAGGTGGCTCAATGATATGACGAACCTCGAAGTCCATCTAGTTACCATTCCACACTATGTATGGGGATGACCTAACAGTTTCAGATGCATGGGCTTGGATGAGAAAGCCCAAATTAACCATAGGTGACATCAACCATCCTGCGACAATAAGGAGCCGAGCAATTCCGTCACACATGATTGTACCTCGCCGGATTAAAACTCGTGAACCTACGCAGTGGATACATTACGATAACCAGTAAGCGTGGTTGAAGTCATAGACAGTGCATTGGATGAAAGTCCGATGTCTCTGATATCAACTAACATCCCTATATCACAGATGAATTGATACATTTCGTATTAGTGTGTTTACAATTCTTCTATCAGTGATCACTTACATTTAGGCCGTGTTCTCGCAACCTTGCTTCGAGTCAACTTACATAAAAACTTTCCAGTAACTTATTGGACACGTAGTGGACATAACGATCGTTTCAATATTATGTTGTTGTTGTTGTTGTTGTTCTTGTTCTTTGACACGTTTTTAAAAAGTCGCTTTTCTCTTCGAATACTGGACCAATTGCTTTGAAATTTTCAGTGGTTAAAGATAAAAATTTTTCTCCAGAAGGCTATTACTTTTTTTTTCGCTATGACGTCATCAAAATTATGTGACTTTACGTGTTCATATATTTGAGCATAGCTCTCTTGTTTGAGATGACATGGCAATTAAATACTCCCAATATTTTGCCTCATGCTGAATTACATTGTAACGAGAATGTAACGTCCATCTCATAAAACTGTTGGGTCTCACTGTAACTCTGGGTGGTTGCGTTATTCAGTAGAATGTGCTTTCATTTATTTTATTTTTTTTATCTGCTTTTTTCCATTGTAATCTTCTCTTTGTATTTTAATTTTGTGGAACTTTATTGAGCCCCTGCACATCCCGGAATTGTTTTTCGTAATGGGATGGGAAACATGAATATTAATATTGAATAATCATCGAGGTAGGCTGACTCTCGACTTTATTTTCATATCTATATTAACATGACACTCATACTTTAAGTCATTTCTAACGCCCTTGTACTCTTCTTTACATACATAATTTCCGTTACATAAACTTTTGTGTTGGCAAATAAGTCAAAATACACTGTATCCTACTGATTTGAGCTGTCTAAACTAGATATAAATCTTAGTAATGTGTAAGTAGTCGCCTACTAGCCCTTTTTCATAAGTACTACCTCCGACTTACTGTTGTTGCTTGGACCTTGTTTTTAGACGAACTACATTGCAAATTTAATTTTGCTCGTGATGTCCCTCATTCAAATATTCAGGTATAATTATTTTTGTATAAATTACTTATTATTCATTATTATGTATATTTTAGATTTTATTTAGATTAGATTTTGTTTTCTGAATAATTTTATTAATATTGGATCAGAATAAGAGTGCAGTGGTAACAAATGCATGTGTTTATTTCCCGACTTTAGTACAGAATAGGATTTTCATATTCATCCGGGGGAGGGGAAAGCCGATAATATGGCTTAATTATATGGCGAACCACAGCCTCTCGTCAAGTTACAAGTTCATGTTGGCTATGGGATTAGTTAGTCAGTTATTCGTTTCAGATGCATGGACTTGAGCATTTTTTGATGTATGTGCAATGTATGTAGGAAACCCGTAATGTACTGAGACCCTGATTAGAATTTAGAATAGATCGTTAAATCAATGCTTAATAGTCAAACTGGACAGGGAATGCAGTAATTCATATTTTATAAATTCTTATGAGCACATTTCTAAATTTGAATATCTTCCTCTGGGCTTCCCCAAGAACTGAGTTCCCTTACAAGTAGATATGCAAATGAGTGCAGAGTGGCAAATGAATCTGAGATCACTGTATGCTCTGTATTATAGCAGCAAAATATTTTCTGGTTCATTATGATTTTCATATTATCTCATGGATATCTTATTATGAGACGACATATCATGTGTCGATCAACAGCCATATTTACCAATTCATGCTAGGGAATGGCTGACCAGTTGAACATTCCTGATGAATAGGTTAACCTTGGTCTGTGGGCCCCCATTTCAAAGACTGTCAGAACTTATGACCTCATGCTTAGATTTGTTTTCTGTATATTTCTATCAGTTATTTCATGCGCCATGTTTAATAACAAAAAACCAACAGACGAAAGTAAAAGAGAGCATTACAGTCAAAGAATTAAGCAAATTGTGATCATTTTACTGAAAATTAATGCAGTACAAATGCAGTCACAAATAGTACCTAAGGGAGGCCTTTGCCCATGGTTCCCTTTAGAGCAGGCCTGCACAACTCAAAATACCACGAGGACCGCAAGCATAAATCTGAAGGTCAGGCGGGCCGCAAACTTTGCGACATACATATTTCACAAGATGAACTACAAATCAAAATAGTATTATGAAACAGTCAAATTTAATGAAACACTTTCATTACTGGGGAGCTTAAAATATGAAGAATCTTATTTTCTTGAGTAAAAACATAAGGTACAGTATTTTTGCATAAGAGATGGCAAATATGTATTTAGTGGTTCATCTACCTTGAAAACCCACCCTTCATTTTCAATATTTCTTTTTTATTCAATTAGGTATTGCATGTTGCAGTATAAACTGACTGCAGAAAAATATTTTACTCAGGTTCAGTTTTGTAAAATAGTCCCAAATATATGTATGACAAATTATTCAGTCATATCTACCGTTATTGGATATTTTCATTGTAGTCTAGAGTAGACAAACAATCCGTTTAGTAGCAATAGATCTTTCTCTGTTTTTGTTTTGAAATTTATTTGAAATTTTACGGTAAATAGCAAAATCTTTTGTGCGAGAATTTTTGCACCATTCATAAATGAAGGAATTATTCTTAAAGTTTTAAATTTGAATTAAAAAAGAAACTTCAGTTTTATGAACTGTTAGTAAAAAACAATGGGGTTATTAATAGGTTGCTAATATACACTAATGGGTGTGAGGTTGTATACCGATATTGTTTTAAGCGTGATTCAGTCTGAATACTGAGATATCTAAATCAGGGTTTCCCAAACTGGGGGGCGAAGGGTCGAGCGACGAATTTTAGAAGTCGCGAAGGGCACACCAATTTCACACCATGTTCGATATTTATTGAAACTAGTGCAAAACCTAAATTCCACGATTTCGAATATGATCGGAGTAACGGCGCGCTTGCATAACAATGCCGGCTTTGATTGTTAGACCCGAGAAGTGACGTGTTTCTAAATCACCCGCGGGCCGCACAGAAGTATCTAGCGGGCCGCATGCGGTTGTGCAGGTTTGCTTTAGAGGACCGATGGCTCCGTTTAAAAAAAAAACAGTGCTAAATGTTCTTTTTGCTTATGCCTTGCAGCAATATTTGCACCAATCAAATCGCATATAATCATCTTTCAATAAAGGATTCGAACACAAGCAGAATAATCGGTGGTGTGGCAAAGAGCATGTTCTTGAAACTAAACCCATGAGCCAGTGTCGAAATAGTTATTTTATTTTATTTTATTAAATTATTTATTTGGGCCGTGTGGGATGGATTTTCATTGTTTCAATGCTTCGCAATTGATAATGCATTTTTATTCAGAAAGTGGGCACACCATGTGTTAGATCTCCAGCGCCGGTAGTGTCTATTTCTTTATTGCTGACACGTTTGCATCTTTTCGTTTGTCAACGTCGCAAACGTCTCAATTCATTACTCGCATTTGATGTGTTTCTTTATTATCTGTAGACCGAGCCGAGAAGGTTTCTGTCTACTGCAATTTGCGTGTTTACATCGTTATTGTATCGCCTGGCGTTAGAGCCGAAATTATAAATGTGCACAGCTAGTTTGCTGTTGCAATGCGTTACTTCTATGGCGATTTATCATTAGGAAAGCTGTATCATATTAATTATAGTGGGCTAATTATGGTTTTCTTTGTTTCATGCTTATTTAACTTGCTAATAGTTTAAAATTTGCTGCATTGAACTCTGGATTATTGAACTGCAATTTGTGAATCTGTCCTGCGTTTTGATTGTTTTTTGTGAACAATTCTTGGTGAGTTTTCTGTATTTCATTTCATTTGGCTTGTTATGTAGTAGTCCTATTTGGATGACATACTGTTGGTATTATATTTATTGCCACAATTAATGCTGTAGGGTTAGGTACTGTTACTGTAGTGCTTATTTGTTCGTGTTTATTTCAGTGTTCTGCAGTTACATAAAAGATTCGATATATTGTTGACCTTGGCTAAAAACAGTCGGTAAGCGATATAATTTGATTGCATGTTGGTTATTTATGCGGCAAATTCATAGTATTTAGTGTATTTTGTTTTCTTTAGAAAACCTCTCTCTCTCTCTCTATCTCAACTCAATCTATCTGTATTCGTCATCTGTTTCCGTGATCTATTTGGCTCCATCTGACATCTCGATTTTATAATTTATGCTGAGCAAGTGCTTGATATTTCCACGACATATTACAATTCTCCTGTGTTTGAAGTTGTGATTGTGGGCTGTGGACCTTCAGCTTGCTTATCTCAGTTATAAGGCAGGGATAATTTGGAGAGGATTGTCTGGACCGAACATAGACTGATATTGCTGTATTGGGATAGACTACTAGAGCGTTTAGACTGGAAAATATTGGCGCACGGTTCAGCGCCCTTCGTCTTTGTGTAGCAAGCAGGGTGCATAAGGTCACACCCCGTCAAGCTTCTACATAAAAAGTTTTCGACTGGTGCTTTTTGCTGGGTGCAAAAAGTTTTCGACTGTGACTAGTGCCTTTTTGCTGGGTGCAAAAAGTTTTCGACTCATTCATTGTGTCTTGCAACAAGACGTCGATAATTAATAAGATACTGTTCAAGGTTGAAAGACTTTCATCGTTCAAGCTATAATGGAATCCAAGGCAAAGCAGCAGTTGGACATTTTGCGATCTGCTTTGCAGGAAAAGTATTTGATAGCTGAACGTTTGATGCTTCAACGTGAAAACGCTGAAAAGTTGTCAGTAGTAAGGCTAGAAGTTGATGAAGTGTTCCAGCAGCTAATCTCTTTAATTGACATGATTCCTGAAAGTGCAGGTAAAGAGATTACTGACTTTCCTGTGACTAATGATTTGAAGCGTGAAAAATCGGAATTTGATTCACGCATCTCGGAATGGTTCGAAAAATTGAAAACGCATTCAACTGTGCAACCAGAAAATGTATCGTCAAAGTATGCGGGTAGTATTTGTTCTGACAATACATCGAGAGCATCCTTCAAGAGAAGATTGCAGTGCAAAGTGAAACGCGATCTAGCAATTGTACAGCTTCGTCACACGGAAGAAAAGCTAGAGGAGGAAGCTTTGAAACGTAAAATGGAGCTTCGTCACACGGAAGAAAAGCTAGAGGAGGAAGCTTTGAAACGTAAAATGGAGCTTCGTGATGCACAGCGTAAAGTGGAATTGACTGAAGTGGAATTTTTATTGTGGGATACGAAATCAACTGGTGATTCAATAAAAGGTGATGGAGATTTCAATAACTTGAGTCCTATTAATGTGTTGCCAGGTACGAGCAGGGCAAGTGATAAAAAGCCTTCAGTGCCATTGGCGAGCCGCAGAGAAGAGACTGCAAGTACTGAGCAAAAACCTTCATCACCCAAATTGGTGAACTCACTCCAGGTTGGTGATAAAATTCCTCCTACAACTGTGCATAAAAATGTAATGCAAGCTGATGTTTCATCATTGAACAGGCGTCGATCTGCTTCGCTACAGAATGAAGCCACACATACTAGAATAAATACCAACCATGATGGCTATGCTGCCTCTGATTCGTGTCATGAACGAGTACGTTTCGCAAGGTCGCATAATGTACACACATATTCTCAGACTCCATTGAGAAGAGATGATAATGCTGTTCCAAATAGAACTGGAAATGGTCAAAGCTATAACTTTCAGCCTGTGAATCGTGCGATAGCTCAGGAGTGTTCATTTGCGGCTGAACCAGATGGAATGGCTGGCCGTGAACACCATCACGTTTTCCGAATAAATGAAAGTAGTGTCAATGAGTTGCCAGATGTGCAGACTCGTGGATATAGGACACTTCAGGAAAATCGTGAGTCGGTTAATGATTATGTTTATGAATCTGGGCCACAACATTATTCACAGCGGAGAACAAGAGAATCATCTCCAGTTATACAGCATCACCATTATCATGGACGTGAAGAATTCTTCTTTCAGAAGCCAAGTTACCTGTGTTCAATGGAGATCCTTTGAAGTATATGTCTTTCATAACAAATTTTGACATCCACCTGGCACCGAAACTAGAAACAAATAGCCAGAAGCTTGTGTGTTTGTTGCAATATTGTGAAGAGAGAATTCGTGCACAATTAGAATACTTCACAAAGAAGCCTGAGAATGGATACAAGCTTGCTAGGCAGAGGCTGTTTGAAGAATATGGTCAGCCTCATATTATCGCTGGTGCATGTGAAAGAGTTCTAAAAGAGTTTCCAAGTGTGCGTGATGACAAGCCAGAGCAGCTATTGCAAATATCACAAGTAATGGAGCGATGCCTGGGAACTCTAGAAGACATTGATGAATTTGCAAATGTAAACACCCTGGACACTATGGGAATGCTGATGGCTAAACTTCCTGAAGATGTTCAGGATGGCTGGCCACATGAAGCCCTCAGAATTCAAAGAAAGACTGGTCGTCAGGCAAAATATTGTCACTTGGTCGATTATGTTTGTAATTGGGCGGATGTGAAAAATTCAATGTATGGGAAAAAGCTTAATGAGATTCGTCACAAAAAGATTCCTGTGAGTGTGAGGAGAAACAGAGCTGCAACCTATAATATTGATGCTGAGGCCAAAAGGGAACACATTGATCAAAAACGGGATTTGGGATGTGTATGTTGTCTCAAACCGCACAATTTGTGGAACTGCCCGGACTTCAAGAGTAAATCGCATGAAGAAAAGGTCAGTCTTTTGAAGGAGCAGAAATTGTGTTTCAAGTGTCTGTCTCATGGTCATCTGCTCGTAATTGCAAGAAGGCCAGTCAGTGCAAAGTACATGGATGTAAAGGAAATCGACATCACACACTGCTTCATAGATTTATTGAAATTCAGGAGAAATCGAAAAAGCCTGAAGAGGGACCTGCTGTATATTCATTGGCAAAGTCGTCAAAGTGCAATGGGAAAAGTATCGGGCAAGATGTTTATTTATGTGTGGTGCCGGTCAATGTTCGAAATGGTGAAAAGACCGCTCAAACATACGCCTTGCTGGATCCGGCATCTACAGTTACTCTGTGTAGTGAACGTTTGATGGAATATCTCGAAGTAACAGGAAATACTAGAGATATCACATTACGCACAATTGGACAGAGGCCAATACAATACAAGGGTATATCTGGCAGTTTAGTTGTATCGCCGCTAGATGGTGGTGCTGAACATGAAATCACAGATGTGCTCTCGGTTGAAAAAATTCCTGCTAAGCCGAATAAAGCGCCCGACCAAAGGTTCCTCAAAATCATGCCGCATCTTCAAGATGTAAGATTGCCTATCTTGGAAGGAGGAACAGTGAATCTTCTGATTGGTGCTGACAATGCGGAACTCGTCTGTTTCCAAGATGTTCGAAATGGACCGAGGAAAGCACCTAAGGCAGTGAAGACTGTTCTTGGCTGGTCGCTGTTCGGACCCAGTTTTGAGTCGCCATCAGATATCAGAGAAGTTCATTTTACATCTGATCATTATGTCAATTTCGTCAAGTGTAATGATTTGGAAACACAAAAGGAAATTGAAACTCTGTGGACAACAGATTTTGGCAATGAAACTTCAGTTCTTGATATTCCAAATTCTCGAGAAGATCGAGCAGTGTATGAAATTATGCAAAATTCGGTGAAACATATTGGTGGTCATTTTCAACTTCCTTTGCCATGGAGAACCGGGATGCAGTATCTACCGGATAACAAAGAGATGGCGAAGAAAAGACTTTTAGCCTCAAAAATAGACTGATGAGAGATTCCGATTTGCATAAAAGGTATGTCGAAGTTATTCAAGGATATATCAAGGCAGGATATGCCAAAAGAATTTCATATGCCGAAATTGATACGTCTAATACAGTTTGGTATCTTCCTCATTTTCCTGTCATGAACCAGCATAAGCCTGGAAAAGTTCGTGTAGTTTTTGATGCTGCAGCCAAATATGGAAATGTGTCTCTGAATGATTGCTTAATGTCCGGACCAGATTTGGTATCGTCACTCGTGGGTGTAATTTTGAGATTTCGCAGGGGACGAGTGGCATTAGTGGCAGATGTGGAAGCAATGTTCCACCAGGTTAGAGTGGCACCTCAGGACACGGATGCACTAAGGTTTTTATGGTGGGATGACGGGGACATCTCAAAGGAACCCGTTCCACATCGTATGCTAGTTCATATATTTGGGGCTGCATCGAGTCCGTCTTGTGCTGCATTTTGTTTGAAACAGACGGCGGTGAAATTTGGAAACGAACACAAACCTAGAATTTCAGAAATTGTTAATGAAGATTTCTATGTCGATGACTGCTTGACAACTGCTGAATCGGTCGATGAAGGCATAGAGATTGTCAAGGAATTGACACAATTGATGTCAAAAGGAGGATTCAACTTGACTAAATGGCTCACCAATAATGATGAATTACTGTCTATGATTCCAGAGAAAAGAGAGCTAAATGTGTTCAAAATCATGTCATTGATGGCAATGTCAAAGAACGAGTTCTTGGTATTCAGTGGAATGTGGCAAATGATGAGTTTGGGTTCAAGGTTAATATTGCTGACAAACCAAATACCAGGAGAGGTATACTTTCAATTGTAGCATCTGTTTTTGACCCACTTGGTATAGTGGCTCCAATAACGCTACTTGCCAAGTTATTGTTGCAAGAACTTTGCAAGCAAAATTTGGGATGGGATCAAGAAATTGCAGATGATGATGCTGTTAAATGGCGAAACTGGCTACATCAACTGCAAAGCTTAGAACAGGTGAAGATACAGCGATGCTATCAGCCATTTGATTTTGGAAAAGTTGTTTCCTATGAACTACATCACTTTGCTGATGGATCAGAATTAGCATATGGAGCTGTTTCATATCTACGAATAATCGATAAAAATGGCCAAATTCATGTGGCATTTTTGGTTGGAAAGGCAAGACTTGCTCCATGTTCTCGTGTAACTATACCCAGACTTGAATTAACAGCTGCAGTTCTCGCTGTAAAGTTGAATCTTGTCCTAAGAAAGAACTGAAGATGAATGAATGCAGTTCAACTTTCTGGACTGATTCCACAGCCGTACTTCAAAGTATAAGAAATTCGAAGAAACGATTCTCCACATTTGTTGCTAATCGTTTAGCAAAAATTGATAGAAATACTGATGTATCACAGTGGCGCCATGTTCCAACGAAGATGAATCCAGCTGATGATGCTTCGCGTGGTCTTAGAGTTGATGCATATTTAAAGTCAGGACGATGGATCAATGGGCCCGAGTTTTTGCGTCTTTCTGAAGACAAGTGGCCAAAGATGCCGGACTGTTTTCCTGATCCACCGTCTGAATTTTGTCCAAAGCCAGTTCCAGAAATAAAGTCGGCATTTGTAATAAAGGAAGAGTCTTCTGTCATGGACAGGTTCATAGGATTCTTTTCTACATTCTACCGTTTGAAGAAAGCAACTTGTTGGCTCATACGATTCAAGAAATATTTGTGTTCTCATAAGAAGTCAATAGACAAGCTTACTGAACTGCCAGCAAGACTGACTGTGCAGGAACTGAGCTATGCTGAAAGAGTTATTATTGAATATGTTCAAAGACAAAGCTTTCGTGAAGAAATGAAATGTATATTAAATGGTAAATTTATCAGTAAAGGTGATTGCTCTCGCCGGATGTTGAAACTTAATCCTGTTCTAGAAGATGGTTTGATGAAAGTAGGAGGACGCTTGGAAAATGCACCAATTATGCATTCATCAAAGCATCCCATCATATTGCCTCATAAATCACATCTTACGGATCTAGTCATCAGGGATCATCACAACAAAGTTGGTCATTCAGGTATGGGTCATACATGGACCTCATTAAGAGAAAAGTACTGGATTATCAAAGGTGGAGTTGCAGTAAGAAGGGTCATCGGAAATTGTGTTTCTTGTCGAAAGCGAAATGCCCGCCCTGGAAAACAATTTATGGCAGATCTACCTTCCTGTCGACTGAAATCGGATGAACCAGTGTTCAGTCATGTTGGTGTTGATCTATTTGGACATTTTCTTGTTCGACAGGGAAGGAGTGATGTTGAAAAGATGGGTTGTGTGTTCTCGTGTATGACAACTCGTGCTGTTCACATCGAGGTGGTAAATAGTTTGTCTGCTGATTCTTTCATATGTGCCACTCCGACGATTTATATGCTCGAAGGGGTCATTGTACTCACTATATTATTCGGACAATGCTGGGTAATTTTGTATTGGCAGAGAAAAATACTTGAAATTTCTTGAAGATATGGAATGATTCTCAAATTCATGGATACTTACGTCAAAAGGGAGATAACATGGCATAAATCACCGCCTACAGGTTCAAATCATGGAGGTGCATGGGAACGAATGATTCGGTCAATTCGGTCGAATTTTCAATGCTGTTACTCAGGGTCAAACTATGACAGATGAAGTTTTTAGGACCGCCTTTGATCGAAGTGTGAATCATGCTTGAACAGTCGTCCAATAATTCCTGTAACATTTGACCCACGGGATGAAGAGCCTTTAACGCCGAATCACTTGTTATTACTTCGGTCAAATCAAAATGTGCCTCCTGGAGTTTTTGACAAGAATGATTGCTATGTTAAACGTCGATGGGCACAATCCAATATCTCGCAAATAATTTTGGAGAAGATGGATTCGAGAGTATCTGCCTACGATTATTGAGCGACACAAGTGGTTCCAGAAAGAGAGAAATTTCAAGAAAGAAGATGTTGTCCTGGTGGTAGACGATTCTCAACCTCGATCAAGATGGCAATGGGAAAAATCGTGGGATGTGTATCCAGACAAGAAGGAACTGATACGAACAGTGCTTGTTAAAATTCGTAATAGCTTGGTAAAGCGTCCCCATCACCAAGCTAGTTCTTGTTGTTGAAGGCACTAAATGACTATTGAGGCTTGGAGATCATGTTGTGTTTTGGAATTTATTTTCCTATGTACATAAATTTGTGGGGGGAATGTTAGATCTCCAGCGCCGGTAGTGTCTATTTCTTTATTGCTGACACGTTTGCATCTTTTCGTTTGTCAACGTCGCAAACGTCTCAATTCATTACTCGCATTTGATGTGTTTCTTTATTATCTGTAGACCGAGCCGAGAAGGTTTCTGTCTACTGCAATTTGCGTGTTTACATCGTTATTGTATCGCCTGGCGTTAGAGCCGAAATTATAAATGTGCACAGCTAGTTTGCTGTTGCAATGCGTTACTTCTATGGCGATTTATCATTAGGAAAGCTGTATCATATTAATTATAGTGGGCTAATTATGGTTTTCTTTGTTTCATGCTTATTTAACTTGCTAATAGTTTAAAATTTGCTGCATTGAAACTCTGGATTATTGAACTGCAATTTGTGAATCTGTCCTGCGTTTTGATTGTTTTTTGTGAACAATTCTTGGTGAGTTTTCTGTATTTCATTTCATTTGGCTTGTTATGTAGTAGTCCTATTTGGATGACATACTGTTGGTATTATATTTATTGCCACAATTAATGCTGTAGGGTTAGGTACTGTTACTGTAGTGCTTATTTGTTCGTGTTTATTTCAGTGTTCTGCAGTTACATAAAAGATTCGATATATTGTTGACCTTGGCTAAAAACAGTCGGTAAGCGATATAATTTGATTGCATGTTGGTTATTTATGCGGCAAATTCATAGTATTTATAGTGTATTTTGTTTTCTTTAGAAAACCTCTCTCTCTCTCTCTATCTCAACTCAATCTATCTGTATTCGTCATCTGTTTCCGTGATCTATTTGGCTCCATCTGACATCTCGATTTTATAATTTATGCTGAGCAAGTGCTTGATATTTCCACGACATATTACAATTCTCCTGTGTTTGAAGTTGTGTATTGTGGGCTTGTGGACTTCAGCTTGCTTATCTCAGTTATAAGGCAGGGATAATTTGGAGAGGATTGTCTGGACCAAACATAGACTGATATTGCTGTATTGGGATAGACTACTAGAGCGTTTAGACTGGAAAATATTGGCGCACGGTTCAGCGCCCTTCGTCTTTGTGTAGCAAGCAGGATGCATAAGGTCACACCCCGTCAAGCTTCTACACCATGTTTAATCAATGCATATATGATCCTACATAGTAGTTTTCGTGCGAAACTTTTATTTTAATAAACCTCGAGTTAGAAAACTTGCTTTGTGTGAAGTTTATCATGTTGGCTGTCTTGCTATATGATCAGCATTTTCAGATGAAAAGGTATTGGATTTACATATTTATCCCGGGATAGAAGAAAGTCGATACGGTAGGTTACCAGTCCATGTCGGGTATGGGATTAGTTAGCTAGTTATTTATTTCCAGATGCATGGACTTGATGGTGGAGTAAGTCGTAACCGATCAGCGGTTACATGAACCACTCTACGACGGCAAAGTATCCAGCATTTCTTTCTCACATAACCATATTCGCATGGAATTCGAACCTGCGTGCCCACGCAGGGTAATCAGAGGTGCGTGGCGTGCGTGTTTTTAACGCTTAACACGATGCTCCACACCGCCGAGATTCATTACTATGTCGGCACCGCCAGATAATATCTTTGGTTTCAACTCCATGATCACCATATTTTTTAAAGTGGTATTTTTAAATTGAATAGGCGATGCTGAACCGTGCTCCCAATAATGCTAGTTCCTTAGACATAGCAGTATCTGCTCGTACAAAGAGAAGATGTGGTTAATTAAATAAAAACGAAGAAAAAATTATAAACCTGTCAAAGTGAGGAGTCTGTACATGAAATAAATCATTCCCCATATTAATGAAATCTGCAATTCCCCAATCTTCAGCAGACTCGTCACTGTCAGGGATCAGCGAGTAGGAAAATCTGACTCGCAAAAAGATTGTCGCACACATTAAATTATATTATAAGACAGTAAAAATCCTTCAGAGTCCCACTTAAACAATTAGAGTAGCTATGTCACATGTGATATTGCATTATTAGAGTTCTCTTTTATCTCCTTTGAAATTAAAGCAATAGAGGGGAGAACAACCAGCCTAGCAAACACCAGTTTGCTATTTGATGAACTGTGGTTGTAATGGTTACCCCGTCCGTCGTGTATGGAGTCGTTTGCTTCCATTGTAATGGGCGACACTCCAATCGCTTTAATGTATCTTATTTCCGGTTTTCATCAGTATTTTATTTCGACTTTTTTCTTCAGTATAAGATTTGTATGTTATATTTCGGTACACCTCATCTGGCAAATAACCGCTCATTTTTTTAGATAGAACCGCGGATTATTTCGTTTCCAAAATCTTATTTGATAGAAAGAGGGTTTTCAGCTATTGCTATTAAAAAAGCAAATCGCATTTCTATCATCGAACGGGGTAATTTAAAATTGTAACAGACCAAACTGTATCCAGATTGGAGATCAATCTGGAGATCACAAGCTCGTCAGCTTGAGCGTACCACATACCACAACCTATCAGTTCGGTTACCAGTCTATGACGAGTATGAAAAAATTCAACCAGTCACAGCCAGCCACACGACTATGAAGAATCCAGATATCCTCTAGACCAGGGGCTCTCGAACTTTTTGTGTTACAGAGCCCATGAAAAAGTTGACTATTATTCACGGAGCCCCAAAATAAATGTTAAAATTGTTACTTTCCGATTAATATTCCTGAGTAAGTTAAAAGTACTTTACTTAATTTAAACGCTAAACCATTTTTAATATGGTTAATACAAGTCATAAATAAATCTAAATTTCTAAGATAAATTATATATACTAAAGCTGTAAATTTGACACTTGGCAAACATATTAATGAACTAGGGGCCGAATCTTGTCCCTTTTGACATTTTCGGAAGACCTAAAAGGTTGCTAATAACGTGCGCGATTGCATTTTGTTACAATTGCCGATTGTTTTCGTCAGCATGGCGTGTTCTTAAACCTTCAACATCTTTACGCCGGTGTTTATTCTCCCTAAATCGAAAATTTTCTTTTGGCATATACGTGTATTGTTCCACAATGACGACGATAATTGCTTTTTTGTTCTCGTGGGGAATTATGTGTTCAATGTGAAAAACATATTATGATCATCGGCGACTAAATGCTAAAAATAATACCTAATAAACAGGTAAATCCGCAACTCAAATTTCTTGATTGGAAAGCTGCATTCTAAAATATTAAAACTAAAACTTAAAATGGAAGATTACACTATAAGTTTGGTTTCAGCAGATTTCAAAACGCTTTTTTAAACATTGTTAATCACAAAATTTGGTGTTATGTTAGGTTTCTTTGGTTATTCATCGTAGTAACTGCGAAATCAAAACACAGTCAATTGTGCGCGATGTATCTTTTTTCATTCTGAAACTACCGACGGAGCAGCATGCAATAAAATAAATTTCAATCGTTCCTATTTTGCCCAGACCTTGTGATTTTTCAAACGCGATATCTTGCTTAAAAATAATCTCGAGTGCGAAGGAACAAATCAAGTTTGACGAATCCCAAGATCGCAAAAATACGACTCCAATTTGTTCATAGTTGGCAGTTTATCACGTATTTTATGTTAATTTAAAATAGTATTCTTTCATTTTAGTAATAATAGTAATAGTAATCTCGAATCAAACGCGAGTAGCGATGAGCACAATTAAATTATAACGACAAGACACTTTAAATGCTCGCATCGGTCATGGATTGAATATTTTAAGGAACAGAAATCTCGTTATCCTTTTTTTTTAATCGCGAAGAATGTTGCGCGGAAATTTCCTATTCCAATTTTGAACCCCCTCCCTCTTAAGAATCCTGGCTTCGCTCTTGCTTATAAATAATATCCTTTTTTTGATTCCGCCTCTTTGCCATATTTCGAGGCTATATTGTTTTCAAATTTTATCAAGGCTGTTATTGCTTCTTTGAACAGTTACAAAATTAGCCAAGTCAGTATTTTAAAAAGTAATCGAATAGCTCGCGGAGCCTCTGGGTTTCTCTCGCGGATCCCTGGGGCTCCGTACGGAGCACTTTGAGAACCTATGCTTTAGACTAGAGTACGGGTACCCAGACAACTGGTCTCGTATGATTAAACCATTTCGTCGGGTTTTTCTACTAGAATATATATATATATATATATATCGTCCCGCTAATAACCGAATTGCCTAAGTCATTTTTAGCAGTTTTGAGAAAAACGTAAAAAATTTCGCCTATCGGGAGCACTAAAAAGGGTGAGCGAAACGAGATAAAATGAGAAAAGAAAAAACACGTTGTAGAAATGTAGAATGTACAGGGTCTTTTATTGAAACCATTCGTATATATTTTCA